TAGCGATGGTCTCCAACCTAATAGGTTTGGCCTCCAGCCTAATAGTGATGGCCTCCAACCTAGTAGCGATGGCCTCCACCCTAGTAGTGATGGCCTCCAGCCTAATAGTGATGGCCTCCAACTTAATAGCTTTGGCCTCCAGCCTAATAGTGATGGCCTCCAACCGAATAGCGATGGCTCCAACCTAGTAGCGATGGCTTCCTATAGCGATGGGCTCCACCCTAGTAGCGATGGCCTCCAATCGGCATTAGTTATGATAACTCGATCTACATTCGTTTTTGTTAGCGTGAACCGCATGGTGCACCGAAGAAGCTTGCACGACAACTTATCAACTAGAGCATTAGAGAGACTTGGCCTAACGCAGGTGTGCCGTAGGATGTTTGTATGTTGTTCCGAGTCCAAGCGCTCCTGTCCCCCACGTGTCACATATATGGAGAGAGGCTTTTGGTGGCTTTTGTGTCTACAGTTTGTATACATCTATATTCAGTATTTCATGTGTGATAAGAACTATATAATACACGCATGCATAGTTAAATCTATATAGCTACTTACTTATAACTGGATAACCAAAGTAGTTTTTGATAAAGACATTTGCACCATGAAATCGTGAAGCGTAAATGTGCTTGTATGACTGCCAGATGGGTGACCCAAAAACATACACAGGCGTTTCCTTGTTTCGAGAATTTCCAAGCCAACGCATGGCCCAGTTTTTCCCTTTGCCGGGGAGACATGGCATCAAAAAAGGAGCCCCCATTGTCGTGAAAGAAACGCGACATCAATCAGATTGACGCGGGTGAACCGCTGATGTTGGAGCGAAACATCCCTGCAGAAGCCTTCCACTTTTGACACCATGCGCGGTCATGCACGTTGCCTGCACCGTGCTCCAGGTGAATGTGATGTTACTCTCAATGGAGACCTGGATCTCGATGATGGACGTGTTTTTTAAACGAGATGGAAGCAGAACAACTCTGAAGTTCACTGTTGTTTCTCCTTGATCCTTTGGACACTATCCTCCCCATTCAGCAATTCAACCAAGCATGGCCGCACACCCTTCGCATTTTGAGGTATCAAATCTCCTGTGAGTTTGGCATGGTTTGGCAACAACTTAGTCATGCTTAGTCCATGAGCCGCCCATCTCCAGAACTCACCAATTCTCACTGAGGAGATCTCCCCCAGTGGGCTGAACCTCACCGTGGCACATCATGTGATTTTAGCCCAGCCCACCTGTCGGATGGCCGATCAACCCGAAGAAAGTGTGGACTTCGAGGCTCGTGGTGCGCTGAGGTTTCGAAAGGCGGAGTCCGGGCGGAGCGGCGGAGCAGCGGAGCGGCTGGGAATCATACTCCGTGGACAGTGGTAACATGGGCCCGTGGAGTCGGCATGCGTTCCTTTTGAAATATCAGAACTGGACATGCTGATAGGATTTGAGCCCACGGGGTCCAATATGGTCCAATGAACTCACAATGTCCCAAATTGGCTGCCAATTGGCTGCAGACTTTGGACCCTGAAGATTTGGGCCGGGCCTCGAGGAAAGATGGATGGCTTTCAGCACGCCATGTTCAGGTTCTGTGTTTGTTTATGTCAGGGTATGTCAGTTTGGCGGGTTTTCTTGCAGTGTGCATCAGCGTACTTTGCCCTTTGATTTGTCAATACATGAGTCCTTTGAAGTTGCCAGGAACAAGCGATCGGAAGATGTTGGCGCCAGGGTCAGCGATCCATCGTGCACGTGTGGCGCCTTTGCATGCTCGGCACCGTCGAGGAGGAAATGGTGCACCAACATATGGCCTTGTGGACAGACAGACAAATTCGATCTGGAAAAAGGCCACAAGCAGTGAATCATTCTGCACAATAGATGAAATCTTCTTTCAGATGTGATTTGCCTAATAGGATACCACATCCTGGGGCCTCTCGAAGGTCTTGGAAGATGTCTTTTAAGTGTAGAAGTTCTTTACCGAATTGGCCGCCGGCAAGTTGCAAAAATGAGGAGTGTCCACATCCCTGGATTGTGGTTGAATTTCATTAGGTGGGGGTCAGGGTTTCTTTGTGTAGACTCCTCTGAAAGTAAAAGAGAGGGATTCCTGATAGAGGTGAGCCAGACAATCCCTAATGCCTGGAGAACGGTGACTACCCCTGCATCCCTATACCTTTGATCTCTGAGATTTCTGTCACGCCGGAATTTCTCTCCGGATTCGTTGCAGTCAGAAATGGCAATCCGCCCAGTGCTAGCCTGGACCTTCACAACAACTTGTCCTGCATCCCAGCCATGGTCACCAATCCAGAGGCCAATCACCAGACATCCTGCTTCTAGGTCCCTGGCCGTTATGCCTGTGGAGGTACTGCAGCAGATATCTTCAAAGAAGAGTCTTCTCAATTCGAGCCCTGGCTGCTTTTGGTTCTTCATGTCTTGGGCCCATTTGGCGTTTTTGACAGCCAGCGTGATTAAGATGGTCGACGATCATTGTTCGTGCATCAGGCAATAGATCACAATGGAGTTTCAATCAGCGGCAGGTGCAACCGTCCGATGATGAAGCAACCGTCCGATGCATCGGGTTGGAAAGCACGCACTGAGGGCACTATGACCACATACAGAAGGATGTTGCAGCTGCTGTGCTGGGATTGGTGGATGCATCAAATCCTTTTTTGGACCGTTTTGAGCCAGTGCGTGACCCGCATAGGTGTCGCAGGTATCGAGACCCAGTAGACCGGGCTAGGCCTTTGGGCACGGACAGTGGTGAAAGCAGCGTGCGAGATTGGCTGACCTTTTTTGTGGTTTAGATCACCCCTACTCTAGTAATTATGTGGTGGGAGTGGTGTGATTCTTTTTCACCGATCATCTCAGCGACACTCTTTCAGGCTAGCAACCTTGCAGCCTCGTGATCGGAAGAGCTTGTGCCTTGGATGATGGAACCATGGGGAGTTGAGCAGGTGCGGTGAGACCCCCTCAGGAGATGTGAGGGATATGTCAGGCGCCAAGCCGACATGGGTTCACAAAGGACTTGTGCCCCCAGAGGGGTTGCCCCAGGTAGATGAACAAGAACCTTCAAGTTTAAACAAGGGCAAGAACGCGTTTGTTCTTTGTTGAGCATGTTGGAACTTAATTGGTGCACCGCCCTGAAGAGTCACTGCACATCTCAACACCGAACCTGACCGACCTATTGAGGGTGATTCCTGCAGTCATTGACTGTTGACCCTGTTGCTAGTAGCTTCTTGCTACTATAAGGCCAGGAGCTAGGTTCGTAGCGTTCTTGCTCCTAGTAGCGATGCCCTTTGTTCCTAGTAGCGTTTTTGTTGGCCCACTGTTCTTTTTGACAAGTTTTGGAGATGTTTTTCTCGACACCTTTGGGAGGCAGCCGCGCAGTCAAGCCACACAGGTCAGGGTGGCCGGCACCTTTGTGTCCCAAACATGAGCATCCGACACATCTAGTGCATACTAAACTAGTCACGGGGTGGTCGGTCTTGGGATATTGGAAGCCTGCATAAGCCTGCATCAACCTGCATCACTGATGGGGGGCCGACCCGTCTACCGATGCCCTTTCGATGCATCAACCACTTACGGAAGCACGCTGCCACGTTACCTTTGTAGCTGGCGCAAACACTTGGTATGTTGCCTTTCTTAGTTTGAGATTGAGTTGCTTACGGCAGTATACAAGACGTGTTGCAAGACCTGCAAGTGTCCAACCACTGAATAGTTTTCTCACCGCAGTGCCTTACCGATGCCCCAACCGATGCCGACCGATGCTGACTTTGAACATGTTTGTGTCCATGCAAGACTCCTCCACAACTTGTACAGGCACTACTCGACTTTGAACATTTTTGTGCCCATGGAAGAACCGCTTCCCCACAACCGGCACAACCACTACAGCAGCTGATTCGTTCCCTCAGTGTTGGCGTGCCAACAATGGCAAGCTTGCTGCCACTGACAAAGCTGAAACGCAGCCAGCCCTACAGACCTGCACAGCCAATGGGGGCACCCATTCTAGGCAATGTCTTGAGGCTAGATAGGAGATTGTGTCCGGCACACATATGGATATCGTTTTTTTGGCTATGGCATATTACAGAATAGTGGGTCGATGAGATGATGAATAAGAAAAATGATTGTTGAACAGGAAGCTGGACCCATCGGTGCAACAGCTACATCAGCTGGGGCCTCCTTGCAACTTGGCTTTGAGAAGGGGGAGGTCAAGAATCAGCCAAACTTCAGTAGGAAATTGGGATTTGACAGGTCTTTCGGCGAGGTCGCCTGTGTGTTGCGATGTCTCCAGCGTTTTGCAATTCCAAACGCTTTGGAATTCTAGTGAGCAAAAAGGACAGCAGAATTGCCATCACCACAGACTGTCGAAGTGGCTAGGGTGGCCCTCCGTTTTGGGACTTCTTCCGAGAACCGTGATCTGGGAAGATTGTGCATACTGCCCAGCAACAGCTGCACCAAGGTGTCATTCAAGGGGTGCCTTTGTCCAACTGCACGGTGACAGTGGTGCTACGTGCCTCGAATGGAGATCTGGGTGGAGATGGTGGAGTCAGACTGCTAGAGACATATGTGATTTAAGTTTATATATATGTATATATATATAGTATATTGCCAATTGCTATCCATCGGCCGATGTCTTGGAGTTCGTGTCTCCAGCATTTTCTGCCAAGCCCACATCCGGGATCCAGGCAGCCACTTGGAGGCCGAGGTCTATTCATGGATCCCGGCTGCTCTGGTGGCACCTCGCATGGAAAAATGTTTCTTCATTGAGGTGTTCAAGCGCGCAACGGGCAAGTTGCCAGGTCTTGGCGACATTGGTCAACCAGGTCTCCGATTGATTGGAGTCATTCAGCCAGAGGGGAGAATGCTTGCAATGATTTTGGGGATGCACTAAGCAAGCCGCAGATTGCCCTCGAAAAGTGGTGAAGGTGTATGCATAAAAGGGAAGTAAGTCAGTGCGTGTGGAGTCAATGAAGTTTTGTTGTCCAACGGATCCGAACACCTCTCCATATTTCCACCAACAGTGTTTCTTGAAATCCTCTCAGGATCGCCTTGATGAGAGCAAGGAAGTGAAGAATCTTGGAGCTCAACGGGCGCTTCACTCACTTGTTGTTGGTCGAGTCATGCGCCTCAACGGGGTAAGGACCCAAGGCACTAGTTGATGGCGTTGATGGTGAAAGTAAAATGGTCTAACATCCTGCAAGTGTGAAAGATGAAGAGGAGGTTCCACTTCACTCTGGTCCGTCCGCAAAGGAGGTTGGCCTGGTCAAGTGCATGCTGTGTGCTCCTTTGGATCCCCAACTCAATGACCAGTTGGTTTAGTTATGTAATATATATATATATCGTAAGACATACACTTAGAACATCTTTTGGGAAAAGTAGTATCTATTTTTTCCACAGGTGAAATGTTCTAAGTGTATAGGTCGCGATGTCTAAGAGTATGTGCCAGCAGATGTTCAAACCCTAGAGTAAGAACATCCCAGGCCCTCGCACCTACACTAAGAACATAGTCCGACACCTACGCTGGATGTTCTAAGCTCGATGTTCTAAGTAAAGGAATTTCCATTTTGGAAAAAAACATGATGTTCTAAGTATATGTCTGCAAGTATAGAGATGTTCACTCCAATCAGACAGTTGATGGCGTAAATCCCCCTTGGTTGCGCCATACTGAAATCCTACGGGTAGACTACCAGATTTCAGAAACAAAAAAAGAGAAACAACTCTAAAAAAGGAAATCAGGTACTGTAAGGCCCCAGGAAATTACAGCAGAAATGATGCTTTTTTGATATCCTTTTGCTCAAGGTTAGGCGCCAGGATTCCAAAAACACATTAGACCACAGGATTTTACTAAAGCTGTAGGATTTCACAAGGTAGAGATACTGGGGTTGGGCTAGGATTTTAGAGATACTGGAGAGGACGCTTTTCGTGGACAGTTTTCGAATCGCCTAATGGTACGTCACCGAATCGCCTAGTGGTACGTCGCTCGAAATTTTCCCACAATTAATGGTTTCGGAAGGCACGAAACCTGCAAATTTCCGAGAAATTTCGTTGCAAAACCTCCAATTTCCGGAAGAATTTCGGGAAAATTTTGAGTCTTCGGTCATTTTGATTTTCTCTTACCTTTGTACCGAAGCCCGGCGCACAATTTTAAACGGTCACGTAGGGTGTGTTGTTTTATGTAATAAATATGCTCGCTGCTTGAGTGCGTTTGGGAGGGCACTGGAGGGACCAGCTAAGGTAGATACCCAGGATTTGATAAGCATTTGATCAGCTGTCCTTGTTTTCTCCTTGGTTCCCAACCCCTTGACACACGTTGGTCCAAAGGTTTCTATAACAAGCACCTCTTGCCTCTTGGGAAAAAACCCTAGGGCACCACTGAAAAACTAGAAAGTCACCTTGGTTCGGTAGGATTTTAATACGTAAAATCCTGGGGATCTACCTTAGCTGTTGGTACTAAAGGGGATGCGTAAAGGAGAATATCGCACCATGTGCATCTAAAGAATCCCAATATCGACAATCAATGAGCGCAAAAACACCATGAAAATCACCAAAACTTGACTGCGAGAACCTCGCTATGTTTTTGGCAGCTGATGTTGAGATATACATGCTCGTGCAGGGGCCTCTTTCGGAGTTTTTGTCAGTTTGTGTTTTCACTGCTTCCATGCATGCAGAGGCGATTGCAAGAAGCGTGCAGAGTTGATTCGAGAGGTTCAAACGCAGTGTGCAGGTTCAACTCCACGGTTTGCAAGTTCTTAGGCACATTTTGCCTATGCTGCTATGATGCTAGCTCATGCATACCTTTTGTCCACAGCCCTCTCAAGTTAGGTGCTGCGGCATATACTCTTTTGAATTTTGTTGGAACATGTCATCCTTGGCCGCTGCTGCTAAAACATGGCTTTCCCAGTTTGCAAGATGTTTTGGTTTGCTTGGGGTGATGCAAATGTACAGGCAAGTTGAGCCATCAGTGTATCCACCGTCTCGTTATTAGAGTTGCACCATCCATTGTCCGGGCGGTGGAGACACAACATAGGACATGGGAACAAGTTTGGGACCCTTGCGCGCACTTTGTGGTATTGGCATGTATTGGCGCAGGATGGCGCAGGAACTAAATCACGCGAACAACTCATTAACTCTCATTAGCTAGAACGGTTAGTCCAAGCAACCAGCTGGGCTAAAAGGCAGAAACAGGCCACAGTGGAAGACTGTCGTAATTGTTCCCGAGTTGTTCCCCAATAGCCATGCGATGGGGCCTTGCCAAACTGATAGGCGGACGGGCCTCGTCGGGTCACCGGCAGATCTAGTGGGCGGATGCTGTCGGGGTCCTTGTTTGGTGGTGTCCAGGTTCACCAAAAAAAATCAACGACCTTCACCGGAGAGGTCTTGGAATGGAAGACTTTCAAAAGAGATTTAAAATCTCGATAAGAGATTTAAAATGCAAAAAAATGAAACAACATGTTCTAAATGAAAACCTTAGCAACAATCAACTCAAAAAATCTCGAAAAATCTCGAAACATCTCAAAAATTCTCGAGGGGATAAAAGGAAACTTCATCAAAAAATCTCGAAAAATCTCGAAACATGAGAAAATATGCAAAAAGATGCAAAAACATAATTTCACATGCAAACTGGAGCGTGATATGACTGCTGCAGTCAGTTGTGTTCAGCTGTTAGGATAACTTCTCCCCAAGAAACACAATTTGATTAACCATGTTGTGTTTGAGGTGTTTTCCAACAAAAATAGTAACATCTTTTTAAAACATAAAATAAACTGAAAAATGTGAAACACATGTTTTAAAATGTGAAAATATGATTAAACATGTGGAACATTGATAAAACCATGTGAAAAAATGCAAAAACATAAAAAAGAAACATAAAATTTCATGCGACCCTGCTCTGATCTAATCCTACTCTGATCTAGGTAGTTAAATTTTTCTGGTGACAGGTCCTGTTCTGACTAAGCCGGCTTCCCGCCCGCGTTCAACTACATGTCAGGGCAAAGGTAAATTCAGTAAATCGGCATAAATCGGCAAGATCGGTAAATTCGATGCATTGGTAGACTTGGTAAAATAAGTATATAAATCGGTAAATTTGGTAAATTAAAAGCAACATGCGCGTGTACATTTCGTAATGTAATTACTGTAACCAGGCGCTACGTACAAACAAGGAAACATAATGTTTTGCCAGCAAAGACTGGCCGGCCCACATGCTGTTCATTTCACATCCGCACGTGGGTTCGCAAAAATACAGTATTAGAGCACCAGCATGCATCCGTGCATCACTCAGCCATACTCAACCCATGTGTTTTCAGCTTTGCTCGACTCGGATTCAGGGCCTGCGCATTGTTAGGCCTACAAGTTAAGGAAGTTTGTGCACCTTCTCGAGGAGAAGATGCGGACGTTTAGATCTTAACCAAAGACAGACAGACTGCTTTGAGCGGCTTTGGCTCCATGATTTTCTCAGACCTTCGGAAAATCGGTAAGTGTTGTTAATTTATCGTTTTAATCCTCGCTTCTGTCACACATGTGCTTGACATTTTACCGTTTCACTGTTTACCGTTTAACCGCGGGCCATTGCAACGTAACCAGAAGATACGCGTGGAGCCAGCACAGCACAGTGCCCCGCCCTGTTCTGATGGTGTCCCGGTCTTGTCTCATGGTGTCTCGGTCTGGTCCTGCTGGTGTCCGGGTCAAGTTCTGATGGTGTCCCGGTCCTGTTCTGGTCGCGTCCCAGTCCCGTTGCGATGGTGTCTCGGTCTGGTTACCATGGTTCCCTGGTCAGTCTACTGACTTGAATACTTTGTATTGAGACTGGTGCTGCTTTGTGTGATCTCTTAGTCTTTCAGGCCTGTAACATCCTGTAACTGCCTATTATGATATGTGTTTGAGTGAAATACATAATATAGTATAATATATATATACTATATTATATTCTCAGCAAACCTGAAAGGCCGCGGCGCGCAAACCTGCATGAATATGGACTAGAATTTGGTGCAGGACATGGCCCCACGTATTTTATCGCACATACGCAATCATACGCACACAATCTCGCATAAACATCGCCTTGGAGGCATCTCTGGGGCAGGACCTGAATCCACGCATTTCAATGCATACATTTCAACACATTTTACCGCAAAAATGCACAAACCTGCATAAGCATTGCCTTGGGGACATCTTTGGGGCGGGACCTGCGAGCTGAGCTCGCTAAATCCTGTAGCGACGATCTATTTGCAAGACACCAAGCAAAACGCAAAAAGTCAAAACGTGAGAAAAGTCAAAAAGTCAAAAAGATACAGTAAAGGACACAAATGCAAGCAGCGAGACGTTTCGACTTTTCGATACTTTTTGACTTTTCGGCTTTTCGAGACTTTTCGACTTTTCGATTGCCTTGAAAACATCTTTGGGGTGCATAATATACATCACATACATTAATTTATTTAGAAAATCACGCAAACCTAGCGAAACCTCGCCAAGCATTAACATCGATTGGATAACATGTTTTTCCCTCCTCCCGTGAACATTATTTTCATCCAATCCCTTTGTCACCTTTTTTTCACTTTCTCTCCTGATCTCACAACTTACTTCACGGCTTCATCGTAATGCAAGCGGACCTTGCACCAGAACGCTCTCGGGCCATACGTCGCCTAGCTATTTTCAAGCGACTGTCATGCTTCAAAGCCGCTCGTGTGAAAAAAGGCGTCCCGGTTTGAATGAACCTTTTCTGACCGTTCCTTAGCCCTACTTTCTTCCCTGCCCAGTTCCATACTTCCGCTCTTCACCTCTTAGGAAAGAGTTGAAGAACTGGGCCATGCGCTTTAGTGAGCAGATCTGCAGCTGGGCCAGTCGCCAATGATGCGACTGCGACTGCCAGTCGTGGCTGACATGAGAGCTCTTCCGTAGTCTTTGCAGATAGTGGCGCCCGAAAGTGTATATACGATCCATACATGCATGTTCACATAATACAAGTTTGTCTCTACATTGTAGATTCCTTTAAGTATGTAATATATGTATGTCGTATGTACGTACATGAACCACACAGATCGACAAAAAACATGGACCTACATACGGGCAAGGAACATACATAATCAGACAGTTTTCAGCAATTGATGGGAACATACCCAACATTCAGCGTATTGTGAACGCACAGAGTGTAAAGCAACTCTTTACGTGTACATGCAACGCTTGGGGACCATTTTTGATCATATCATCCACACATGGAGCATCCACATTCAAAAATTCAAGAAGGCTAACAGAAAGGGTCTGAATTGAATAGAACCTTAATTATATGGAGAAGTGTTGGTGCTAAGATTATGAACCCCTGCCAGAACATCCCGCGGGGTAGGTCTAGCACTGTTGCACGTGTTGAAGCCAAAACCTACGGGATAAGCAGTTAGACCGACCCTAGACTTTGGGTTCCAAAAATGCAACCGCCGAGGGAACCACCAAGTAGTTCTGATTCAGAGTGTACTTTCGTGGCATGTGTCGCGAACCCTTGACCCGCAGTAAATAGAGGAGCCGGGCACTGCAACATGCATGTTTACGTTCCACTGAGTGCTGGAGGCATTTGTGGAGCTGACATGTGTGGATGGCCGTATGGCAGCGTTCCCACCAGCAGTCAAGATACTACAAGGCAATCAGAAGAAAATACCTGGAACCACCTTACTGCTGGAACCGTTGTGTATCAAGATGCAGGTTTAAGGAAACCGTTCATAATTCACACTATGTTTTCTCAGGTCACTTTGTCCTGGGACTTTGTTCTCTTCCTTAGAGTGCCCTGTGTCTCCGTGTTTGTTCTCAGGCGTCTCACTAGGTTTTAACTTAGTGCAACAAAGCCGGAAAACACCAAAGGCAAGAAAATACACCAACTGTATATATATAATTGTTTTGCGTACAAATGACATGTTGTTAGCCTTTTTGGACTGTTTCCTTTGTCACCGTCCTTTCTCCATTTTGTCATTGCCCGTTGACTCTGTGTCCAGTCGTCCAGTTCCATCGGGGCCTTCACCAGGGAGTCCCCGAGTATGGGAATAGACACAAAACCGGAAAGGACGACGGACGACGCGACAAAAAAATAAAACACATTGTGCAGTGTTCCCGCTCTTTGATCTCATTCATTTGGTTGTCCTTCTAAGAATGGTTATTTTTTTGGCTAGTGGGATTTGTTTTTTCATGTAGAGGCTGTGCTTGTCCATCCGTCATGTGGTTTTTAACTAGAATGCCATTTGGGCATTTTATGGAAGCACCCTTACCAGTCACTTCAATTTATTCTATGTTTGCCACCCATTTTAGAGACGTCATTTCTCTATATTTATATATAGCTGGCCTGGCGGCACTGGCGGGTGATCCCAACCATCATTCACAGGGGATTTGTTGACTATTCTTCAGGGGTACTTCATTTAGTTTTCTTGCTCTTCAATAATACGAATTGCGTGTGCTATTTTTGATATGGGTCCAGGCAATGTGTGCAGGGTGTGTGTTCATCCGGGCCTTGGCAGTCAAAGCTGCAGATGCACAGGTGTTTTGCAAACAGCAGGTGTCCTCATTGATGCACTTCTTAGCCAGAAGAGCACACTCACACACATATATTTGTTGTTCTGAAAGTGAGGATGCCGTGCATATTATTCTTTCCCAGCTGTTCCAAGCATTTTGAAGACCATCCGGCAGCATGTCCCGAAGGGATTGCGCAGCTGCATGAAATCTGTGTCCACGGTGATGTGGGATTATTTGCAACGCAAAAGATCAGGTTGAGATTTGTCAAGGGTGCTCCAGATCCAGTGCCACATGATTTCCGATAAGTTAATCAGACAACGATGACGATGGTATCAATATGGCTCAACTGCCGGAATTGGTCTTGCATGGGACCAACCCTTTCATGAAATAGTGTTCAACCGTCCAAGCGTACTGGGAACGGCCTCACTCTATGTTCAGAATCACCGGTCACATCGTTTTCGCCGGTTGCCTTCGGTGTTGCCACCATTGCTGCTTCCTTTAAGAACAGCTCAGGGAGTTCGTTGAGGACGAATGCCATGGCGCCCCCAAGAGATTCGAAGAACCTGTTGGCAGCAGTGACCCTGCGAGGTTCCTTCAAACCGCCATGGGATTTTGTGGAGTACCGACACGTCTTTCCACAATTGACACAGTTTGGATTCACTTGTTCATGTCTCAAGACTGACTAATGGCAACAGAACCAACATAGACCCCACCAATGGCCCACTCACTAACCCTACTCCACAAAACAGTTCTGCCATAGTCCCTTAAAATCTTTGTTTGCCCTCGAGTGAGGCTCCGAAGGCCTCCGGCCGGGCGAGAAGGCCCACGGCCCATGGCGGGTGGGGTTGGTTCCAAACACCCCACGAACACTGCGGTTGGGCGACGACCAAAGCCGTGTTCGTGGGCGGCGTGTTTGGATGCTACGGGAATGGAAGATGGACGCTGGGACGATCAAACCCAATTCTGCCGCAGACTGTGAAGTTGTTTTGGGATACAAAGGGAACCGACATGATTATATATATATATTAGTACAACTGTCCGCAGCGACTTCAAAGACATCCAAAGACACTGCCTACAAAATCCTACAAACACGATTGCAATTGCAATCTTCTATGTTCGAGAGCCATTACTGGCAGAGATTGGCAGAGCGACAAAACGTTCAAAAACAGTTCAAAAACTACGAGGTCGAGCAGCAGTTGACACGACTTTTGCTGCCGATGAATGCAGAATTGGACTAATTGCATCCACTTGCCCGAATGTGCCCACATTCGTCAACTTGTTATTCACTCTCATCGAAGGATACCATTCCCCTCTGGGCTAAAAAGCATCAGCAATCAAAGCTTCCCTTGGGCAGTTGACCTGCCGCGACTGGAAGGCCCCGAGTGCTCGGAACCCACTCAGCGCCACCATGGCCGTGCCTCGGTCAGACGACGACCGTCGCCCTTTGGCATATAGTTTTTGTCCAAAGATTCAGCAGTAGATCCATCTACTATGGACATCGTTTAGACCATTTCGGTGTAAATCCGTTGGTTGATGTTTCATTTGGCATGACACCGTGGGGTCAATATGAGAAAACAACATAGCCGCAATAGGTACCACATTGAGTCACATTGGCGATGCCATGTTCGCGGCAATTGTGCACTTGGATGTTCAGCGATGTAAACTATTACTATGTTACAGTATATCACGAAAGGTAGCCCTTTAGGGGATACCTTGAGTTTGTCTTGCGAAGCAAGTGTTGGGACGTCCGGGTCTAATAATTGATCATTCAATTCAACCCCCACCCCCTCGAATTGATTTTTCAATACAGACCCCCCCCCTTGGAATTAATACAGACCCCCCTCCCCCCTCTAAATTCAATTCTTTCGTGGAGAACGTCTTCGTGAGCCGCTCATGATTTCAGGATAGTTGAAACCCTCTTGAACATTCAGAAAGAGTGCATATGAAATTCTAATGACGAAAGGTGTTCCCCGAGGGGGTACATACCTAGAGTTTGTTTTGTGAAGCACGTCAATTCTCTCCTGGGGAGCGTCTTCGTGAGCCTCTTATGGTTTCAGGATAGTTCAAATCCTATGATGCTCCGATTCAATGCTCACCGATGATCTGAGCCATGGGGCAAGTTTGTTTTCCTAAGAATCTTTTTGAATATTTCGAGAGCATATGTTTGAACATTTATATTTACGAAAGGTCGCCTCCGAGGGGATAAATCACCATGTCGAACATTGCATTTTTGTTCCTGCCTCTCGCGTTCTCTTCTCTTCCCGCTGTCCTACCTTTCGTGTCTCCTTCCTCTCAAGTTTTACTGAATCATACTGTATTGCATTGTTTGTGATTGATTGGGTCTGCGAAAATGTGTGTGTGTGTGGGAGGGGGGGTTGTGTGGGTGTGCAAATACATGTGCACAAACACATACATACATAACATGGATCATGCAGCTGTCACTGCATGTGGGGTGCATGAACACTGAACATTTGACTTCGCCTGACAAGAAGCATAACAAGGCCCACGATTGTTCGGGGGCTTGGCCCCAGCCTTCGCAGCCCAGGCACGGTGAACAACTTCTTTGCATTGAAGTGGGCCAAAATTCATCAAATTCAGCTTCAGGCTTGCACTCTGGCGAGGCTAACACTGAAGAATAACTATTTTTCAAAATCTTCTTGCGAAGAAGGTCTTTGAAGGTGGAATCTTTGTGTTTGGCCTCAGGTGCCAGGCAATTTGTTTCCGTAGGCTCTTCATGAGCCTTCGTATGCCAAATTCACATAAATTCACTAGTGACATAGTGACTTAGTGCTAAATGATCAATGACGGAGAAGAAAAGAAGCTAAACATGTGGAGTTGAAGGAATGATTTGGGCAGGTCAGGTCAGAAGAATGGACACGTGGGAGCGGCCTCCAAAACCGGTAGCGCCACAATCATGACATCATGATATAATTACATCTTAGTGAAGAATCAAAGATGTCCACCTTTGTCCACCACTGGCGTGTGTAGTCAAGAGTGGCAAGGCTGGTCCCCATTCAGCCTTCATAGATGGCCAAATTGCAAAAAAAAACATGTGATTCAGTGGGCAAACATGCGACTCCGGATCGAGGCGTTTGTGTCTGTTCGGGCTCTCCACTTCCAGATTCCTTGTTGTATTGTGACTATCTCGGAGAGCTGGAAAGCCAGAAGGAAGCTGATGATTCGCCCGCAGCCATCCGGTGATCAAAGGGTTTTACTGCCCGCCATGCCGAAAGCGTCCCTGCTGATCGCAGGCTGGGTGGCAAATACAATCGCCTTCGTGTCACGTGACACACGTCATCTCCCCAGTTTTGAGACATTTTGGGTGACGCATCCGCACTTCTACAGAAGCTACTAATTAGTAGCAAAGGGCCGTACTACTAGGAGCAATGTTCGCTACGAACGGAGCATTCGCATTATATAAAACTTGTCACCAAATTAAGATGATGTGCCCAGGCGCCGCGGGCGTCGCGCTGGCGCCGGCATTCCTGGCACCTGGTGCCGGCGTTCCTGTGCGGGCACCTGCGCGGGCAGAGGAGGCGACCAGGCGAGGCTTCGCTCATAGGGCCCACCATCTCGGCCAAGAAGGAGAGATTTTTGGGGGTAATGTAATCTCTTGATTAATAAACTCCTCCCCCCCGGGCCCCCCCCCTCTCAACAATTGGAGCCTCTAGAATAATATGATACAGAACCAATAAGCCAGAGAGGAAAAATAACAATATCTAACAATGAAAAAAAACTATCCATCCCCAAAAATACATTATTCTGGGGGGCTTTATTCATTTGTGCAGGAAAAGAGTCATTATTCTGGGGTACTTTATTAATCAGAGGACTACATTAGGGGCACAATATGGCACAATGAGTGGCACAATGGTTTCCATGGCTTGTGGGGAGGGTGTGTGGAGCAATGATGCCTGCCATCCATAGGATGGTCGAGAGGCCTCCTTGGTTTGACTATTTCCAACAGTTTCACCTGTAAAACCTTCTTGGCAGTCATTGATTCTCCCATAAGGCGCGAAGCACGTCACAAGTGGACAATGGGTCGAGTGTAATTTTCAGCACTTCCGGAACGGCCCAGGCCTCATCTAAGTACAATACAATTCAGCGAAGAATGACGTTGTTGCCCGGAGGTCCGTGCGAGACAGCAAAGAATATTAGGACGCTATTCGGTGGAGGCCATCGCAAGTAGGTTAGAGGCCATCGCTACTAGGAACAAGAAGCTACTTTGCCCGGAGGTCCGTGCGAGACAGCACCAATGCACCTTTTCGCATGGCGAACGTGGCTTTGCCTGCGCTCGGCTTGTTGGCCGCGGGTCGCCGTGGCATGGCTCAACCTGTGTGGCGCAAATCATGTGGGAATGATTTTTGTATATTGTTGATTAATTTTGTACTATTATTAGATGGTTTTGTAACATAAGACATACAAAAAAAATAAACGAAGCAAAAGCCACAACAAATAATTCCAAAAAGACAAAATAAACAAATGAATAAAACAAACAAAAATGCTAATCCCAAATGCAAACAGAAAGCAAATGCAAAAAAGAATCGAACAACTAGGCAAACAAAAACACAAATGTAGAAGCAAAAAACAAAACAACACATGCGAACAAAAAAACGATGAAAACAATCAAGGCAAACAAACAACGAAAAAGAACAAGAACAAATGCAGAAAAAATGCGGACAAGCAAACAAGAAAACAAACCAGCGGAAAAACATAGCCTAAACCCACAAAAAACACACACACAACATTAAAAAAAATGCATTCGCTTGTTTTTTGCTTTTGCTTTTTGGATTTGCTTTGTTTTTTTGCCTTTTGGATTTGTTTTGTGTTCTTTTGCTTTTTGTAGGTGTTGTTTCTTTTTTTGGGGGGGGTGTTTTATTATTATTTGCTGTTTCTATTTCCAAGATTCTCAGAGTTAGCCTGGGTCCGGTGAACACAAACATAGACGTTTGTATGTTTGGGTGTTTTGTCGGAACCCCAACTTGGGGCAAACCCGAAGCAACTGTGAATGCAGAACCATGAGCAAAGACTAGCTCCCTTTGCAAAGTGCCGTGTAGATCAGAGTTTGGGCATTGCCAACATGAAATTCAATCGACAAAACCTTTGGCCGTTGACATGATTACTACTATGACAGTAGTGTGGGTTGTCACTGTCACTATCAGGCTTGGAGCCCTGCCCGATAGCCATCCCAGATAGAGTAGGAGGCAATCCAACAGCCATGTCAAGGGAATTATATAAATATTACAGTATGTTTTAAGACTGCTTTAAGGCGAACTTTAGACTATACAGTCGCAAAGGTTTCTTTCACACAATTGCGTCCGTAATGATATATATATATATATATTATATGTGAAAAAGACTGTAACATATTCATATGCATTGCATATCTTCTAATTCCGTGCTAAAAAGCAACAACTGACCCCCCGTCCATCCAGGCGCAGCTCGATCCGGCACAGCCCGTGCTGCGGAAGCAGCCGCCGCAGAGCCAGAGCCAGAGGTCTTCGATCCACGGAAGGAGCCAGGCGGTTTGCAGCATGGATTGATGGCAGCGAACGAGAACCCACTGGGACTAGCCATGAGCAGTTTTTATTGTTTTTAATTAGACTCCTGTGATGCTCAGGTGGTGACATCTTGGAATTTGTGCGAGTAATTATCCTGCCTGACATGAGCAATTTGGGTGTGACCTGGAAGTAGGGGGTATCCAAGGAAAATTAAAAGCCGTAATATGAATGAACCCTCTTTTGGTGGCCTATCTATATAATCATTTACGTTGGACTCTACTTGAACAGACTCGCGAATTTTCAGGTCAGTCCAAAAATGGGGATAAGCCACTGTTCAAATCTTTCGATCGAGAAATGAGGGCTAAGGGGCCCTGGTGTAATGTTTAAATTGCTTCACTCTGTTTTGCCAAAAGTCCTTCTTTGGAAGGTGGACGTCATTTGTTGTTTAAACTGGCATGTTGCATGCTTTCAATTTTGGAGTTATACATTCTATTACATTCTTATTCGATTGACAAATATAAAGTTAATTTGGATGGTTCAAATCACCTGTTTAAACTGAGTAAGATCCTGGTGGGTGTGACTCTTGGTCTTGCCAGGCGTGACGCTGCCTTTGATGTACTTTGATCCCTTGGGCTTTGCTAAGGAGGGCGACCGTGAAGGCAAGACAAGCGTTTGGGAGTCGGTGTGGAAAGACATGTCCGAAGGTAGAGGAGCATAAGGGTGCAGCCAGCTCCTGGTGGCAAGTTATTTGTGGATCTCTCTCTCTCTCTCTACAGTGTTCATTTCTGCTGCTGGGTGATTTCAGTTGGTTTTTCAAGGCCAAGCAGTGCTTGACTAATCTTGGCAACTATAGTCCCATTTCAAGGGTGGGAATCATGTCGGTGACACGGAGACTTACCAACTGTGGGAATCAATAGCGCTGGAGAGTTGGGAAGGTCTCCAAACATCTCGAAACCTTCACCCCGAACCGTGGAAGTTGAAAAACGTTGTGCATCGTCCGGGGTGCAATCCTCCGAGGAGACCTAATTACATGCTTGGGTATTTGGGTTTCTCAGGTGTGAGACGAAGCTCGTGAGAGGAGCTATATGGAGTTTTGTTCGCGAAGGATGTCCTTATGTCATCAGGTGATCAACGGACCCCGAACCAAGGATCTCCTGCAGTGCAGACTTTGGCTGCCATGTGTGCGAACAAAAAGAACCCCCCGGTGGATAGTGAGTCGGCGAGTGATTTTGAGAGATGTGGTCACTGTTTCTATCGTTTTTTCTGTGTTTCTACCATAATCCTGCAGTATATATATATATATACACCTGCAACTGAATTGACCCCTGTTTTGATAGGAAAAGACCACATATTGGGTGATTGGTGGTCACCTGCTGGTCCAAAATAGAAGTCATTCAGGTTGTATACTGTACATGCATGGAACCAAACCACACCACCGGACATCAAACCGTCACGCCGTCGCCAGGCTTCTACCAGCTGCGGGCCGCTGAGTTAAAGCATGGCCGTGTGGTTCGGGAACCCAGTGCGAATGGTCTCCATGGACTTCAGGGATGAGGTGTCGAACCGGATGGGTTTAATTCCACCCGGGAAGATTTACATGGAACTTGAACATGGACCTTTGGAAGACTATTTGCTTCAAACTATGTACAACCCAATGGTATTCAGGTTCTTAATCTTCCGGGGTGCAATGATGCAAAATGGATCTCACTACAGCCGGTGAACATCATGTTTCCTTTCGCATGTCTTATTTGGTGGTCAAGGAAATCTCACAGCATAGTCCTCGGGATTGGTGAAGACGCTGACAAAATCAGCCAACTTCTGAAACCAACATCAGTCCATACTACATACCAGTCTGAATCTATTGGTTTACTTTAACAAATCGTCCCCCAGGGAGGGCTGTTGACCACTCGCGCCAAATACACCACGCACGCCCGATGACGCAGGCCATGATCGCTTCCGTGGGCTGCGTGATGCAGCACAACATCAAATTTCCAGGTGACGAGCGGACCGCATTCCACACGGCATTGCAACCACACCGGCAGTGCATTTCCTGTTGAATTGCATCTCGCATGCAATGTCCATGAATGATTTGGGGCATTCATCCCGTCATGTTCCTTCCTGGGACTAGCTACCATTCTTCTGAATCCTTTCTCCCGTAATGTGCAACAGCCAACAAAAGGTCATGAAAATCATGAGTGTAAATGGACCGCATTAATGTTGCTGTTCTCGACATGAGCAAATGCCGTAAGCAGTTTATGTATTCAATGTATTCATGATTGTGGGTGCAGGAGTTTCATTGCCCAAAAATTGGTTCTATACTCATACTCCTTTGTCGTGGAGTGGGTTGTGGTGAAGGCGACACTGTTCGTTCACGGGCAGAGGTTCGCAGCAGGGCTGGTGGTTAAACACACTCCTTGGGCCTTGGGCGATCTTGGGTTAGGCTTCTTACTCATAATGAACTGAGCGACTTGGCCCACTTGGCGACTGTCCTTTCCATGGTTTACAACCTTCCTCGCTCGGTCCAAGGTTGTTTCAGAGGCGGCGCAAATCCGTGGTGGCTTGCACAACGTTCCCATGTAAGGTGAACTATGGCTTAACTGTTGTACACCAGTGTGGGTGCAGACATGTAGTGCTTGTTAGGGTCAGATTGGAGCCTCAAAATGCTCGTGTTTGCTGCTTGGAGGCTTTGAAGATGTGCCCGCCGGAATCAAGGCTGCCATTACTCCTCCTGGTGTCTCGGCGGTTTGGCCCATGCGTTTGTTGCACCGTGGGCCACACAGATGCAAGACAAACAGACCTCAGACCAGCATAGACCAGCTATGAAAGCTACCCGGTGAGCATGCAGTATGTCAGTCAAGACCTGAGGACGAGTCTTTTTACAATGCTAGTCACTCGTGTTTGACCTCAGGTACCTACGGTCTCCTTGCGATCATTGCATTGCAGCTCGGTTTGCGGGGTTTCGCAGGCTTCGCATCGTTTCCCAAGCTTGTGGCCCGTTTTGGGGCTCCTCACGGCTGCTTTGATCGTCCCTCATTCACTGAGGGCCGGCGCTTTGGAACTGACGATCTTCAAGCAGGATCCGGAGATGGACCCAGGCGGACATCGGCCAGACACCTGATGCCGGTGAGGGCCAACTCGGAGACGAGAATGGACATGTTGTGATGATATGTGTGGAGAGGGGGTGTTAGACCAAACCATGGAGGTCACACCTGGTCACTCCACCCTTCCATAACCTTCCCTATCATGGCCATCCAGTGCCTGTAAGATGCAAATACTTGACTTCAGGAGAGCTCGACAAATAACGAAACGCTCGAAAAACTCGGACCGAGCCAACACGCAAGACCGCGACGAGCGACGACGAAGCAGCGGCCAAGTGGTACTCGAATTGGAATGGCCAGTCGGACTCAGGGACGCAAAGAATTCACCGACGTTGCTTCAGATTTGATACCTGGCGCCATATTTACTTACATTGCTTCGAGAACCTGATCCGGGAAATAATTTATATAATAAGTATATTGACACGGATGTGCACATTTTTTGCAGTAGTAGGGAGCACGTTGATTGATTGAACAGCGCCTTTGATAAGTGTGAGTGTGGATATCCAAAGAATTCCAAAGAAAAGAGTTTGTTTGTGAATCACGTACCCCACCATATGGGCTTGTCTTTTTTTAAGGTGTCCAGTTTATGTAGGGCTGGGATGTTCGACTTAGGCGAAGCATACCCCGAAGCATACCCCCGAAGCATACCCTGAAGCATACCCTGTGGAAATGCTACTACTTTAGTCTTCACACTGCGCGAAGCATACCCCGAAGCATACCCCCGAAGCATACCTCCGAAGCATACCCCATAGTCAAACATCCCGGCCCGGGAACCTTAAAAAAATACAAACCCATATGGCGAAGGAGCACGAACCTGATTCATTTGTTTCCAAACGAATACCCCCAAACCCCCGCAAAAGTATTTGAACATGCGTCATCCTTTGACCACATTTTGTTCCATGCTGGATTGGTGCTGGATGCTCAAAAGGCTTGGAGTTGGTATTCGACATGTCATGATTGCGGGTAGAACACTGACATGTCCAATGAGGCCTACGCAGAAAGAGCGCACCCAGCATTCATTGCCTCTCCCAGATGTCATGTAAAAGAGGGTTTCAACAACAGTTATGCCAGTTATGCCGTTCCCTTCCAAGAATCAAGCCCCATCCTCAGCTCATTCGATGTATTGGGACTCACCATGACTCAACATGTTCCACTTTCATCCCGTTCGCACCAGCGGAACAGCGTTCAGAGTTTACCAGGACGGCTCGTCCTCGATTGCCGATGAACCAACCTCCGGAGGTGATTTTGGCGACCCGGCGGGATTTGGGCAATACTACACCGAGTGGAAGGACCGCGAGCTTAACAATTGCCGACACTCAGAAGAAGTGCCGCATGATCAGTTATGCACTTTGTCCTTGTAAAACAGGTGTGCACAGGGCAACCGCAGACTCATTGACCAAACTTAAGTTACCAAGCCAAGTTATTATGTTACATTATATATATAATATTATATACTCATTGCATTTTTTTGTTTGTTTCTTCTTGTTTTTTGTTGTTGTTGTTGTTCTCCATTTCTCAGAGTTGTTTGATACGTGCCGCGGATTGCGAGAGGTAGACAACAAGAGGGAAAGAAAGAGAGGGAGGAAGGGGGGGAGGGAGAGATAGAGAGAGAGAGGGAGACAGACTTGCCTTTAGCATGGCCCATGACAGCTTCATTTTATGGACAGCAAGTTTTTTGAATGGAGCCACTGCCACTGCATAAAAGAGTTCTGCTACTTCTCTCATGCAAATACTATTAACCATACCGCCCAGCAATAAACATTAAGCCTGCAATATCTTGTACGGTGAGCATGTTTGGCACACGTTTGGCCTGACCAGTTGTTGTGTCGAAACTTCCTGAGCGTGTTCGCAGATTCTTGATAGTTGATTTGGCCAAGGAATGGGCATGGTCTCCTTCCTGGGGATTGTCGTGGCCGAGCGCCTTGGCATTGAGATGCGGGAAGGTATATATTGAGAGTGAACTGTGGCTGGGCATACCAAGAGGAAATGCGCAATGTCCCTGGGTCAAAACTGTTCAATTAGACACCCACAATGACAAGATTCTATAATAATCCTGCTCCCGCTTTTAGCTGGATCATTTTCAGCTGAGATGAATTTGGCTGGAGGCCCCACCTTCAACAGCAGTGGAATAGTGTGGGTGTGATGATGTCAGGGTTGTCAAGAACACAAAGATGTATAAAATCATGTGATATCATTTGTAATCCGTGCGCTAATGTCCTTCCTTTGTGCGTTGCCGAGTCCATGGTGAGATGGTGCAGCCATGGTTGAACGACGACATTTGATCAGCTTAAACAGTACCCCTTCATGAATGAATGAACACTGATACCCGGCTCGTGTGAATCTGAATGCTTTTGAGGCTGGCCACTGGCAAGGATGGAGTGGAGCAGATCTGGACTCCTTTGGGAAACCTGGCAGCCGAGTGAGCGCGGCAGAACCCGTGGGCAAAGCTCGGGTTTGCTTGAGTTGACTGCGGTGGGCGTCACATTTCACCAAACATGTGTTACGATTCGAAGGCTTTGGCACTGTGAGCTGCCATCGATGATGCGGGGATGGAATTCGTACAATGTCCTATATTGACCGGGGCTCACGGAATCATTAGTTTGTTGGTCTCGCTACAGATTCTTCCAGCATTTTTCCGACCCCTTTCATTCTGCAACTAACTATTCCCACCAGAAAGGTGGTAGGAATACCGGCATGGCACCCCTGTAGTGATCGGATTGCCACAAGGGTTGTACAATCAGCTTCAGGCAAGTGAGATTGAGAGCTGCGACATGTATTGGTCGCATTGAGGATGCCACCGCGGTTTTGGTTCATTTTCTCCAGGGACATGCTTAGACACCTCGAGTGGACGGATGGCATGTGCTCTTTATCACAGTCACTTAAGCTAACTCAGTCTACAGTAGTAAGATCCTAGTAAGATCCCGTTTGGACCTCCACTTGAGGCACCATGTCCCTGACCTTTGCCTTGTGCACATCTTTCGGAGGTTGACCTACCTTCCTCCCCCAGCCAGTAACCTGGATGACCGCATGCAAAAGAGAGAGATGGATAGAGATGGAAGGTTGTTCGTTTGTTGTGGACAGGACCAGGGGAGTCGTGTTTCTTCAACAACCCTGTGCATCTATAGACCGGACCCTTCCTGCATTCTACAGGAACATGCAGGAACTATATGTATATATAATCTCCGGAAACTTCTACGATTGTACGACTCACATTTAATTCTGGAGGGTTCCGTAGTTACTTTTGATATCTTCCGACATTTTAGACTTTTCCATTGCACATCGATGCAACGCCAGCTTCGTTCAATGGAAGGTTCCGGTGCACCATGTGCCATACCGCTTCCCGCACATAATATCACGTACAGTAATGACGTAATGGGACTTTTGGCACTCAGAACTCAGAACTCTTGAAGGTACTGTATCTACAAGGCCATGCGACAATCTAGAAGTATACAAATGCGGCCCGATTTGAAGTGGAGAAAGTCTTGCATTGCAAGATGCATTGGAAGACATTCAATGAACCTCGGTCATTCACAGGACCAAGTCGATGCACAGGACCAAGTGTTTCCATGGGCCTGGATCATTGTGATGCAAATATATTTGGTTAAGTTTCTGGTTACATCATGTACACTGCCTGGAACTAACATGGAAGCATTTCCATGTGACATCCAGGGAACCCCATGAAATGCCGAGACATACCTAGACCAGGTCCACTGGCCACGACCAGGAAGGGTGTGTTTTGCATCACGCGGAACACCGCGGAACACCGCGGAAACCCGCGACGCTTCAGTGGCTCGGAACTGGAGAGTCACTCCGCGGCTCAACAGCGGCACGATGGCCATGAAATATTTGGGCGCCTACTTGATGGCGGTCTTGGGTGGCAAGGACAGGGGAGGTTTTGGTGCTTGAGCCGCGGCTGCGGGGTAGTGGTGGTGCTGCGGGGCAGCTCATGGCAAGGTGATGCAACGTGGATGATAGTAATTAGAACGGAGAGAATTTGCAGCCGCCCCGTTGGCTATGGAACTCCGGAGAGGGACCACAGTTTTGGACATCGAAACAACTCCGCATCAAAGCTGTGCAGGAATGAAGGCATGGTGCGATCTTGATGCCGTTTGTGCCTTCATGCGATCGCAAGAGCCCAGAAAGATCGGGGAATGCAAGGTTCGCACAGTTTTGTGATGCTGTGTGTTCCTGTGATCCCACAGTAGCCCCAGGCAGCCAAAGGATCATAAGCCCATGTGCCCGCAGGAGAGCCCCAGTGCTGATGATCTTAAGACCATCCTGGAGGCCTCGTGGTTTCTTGACTGGTTGCTGCAGAGGCAAGCCAAGTATACTGTACTGTATATCTATCTATTTGCATCTCTCTATATATATACCATTAGATTTTATATCAATAGTGGTCTTCAAAAAGTATGAGTTTTTCATTTGTGATGAGACAGTTTCCACGCTGGTTTTTAGTGTTTCCCTTTTGGTATCCATAGGTCACTGCGTGCTTCCCAACGTCCGAAATCCTCAGAATTGTCCAAAGGAAACCACCCTCATTCGCACATTCAGAGCATTATTTATCCCTTGTCACTTGCTGCCATTGTTTCTTCCTTCAGTAGGCATTTGACCATTTATTTTGCGTTTGTCGATGGGCTCGAGCCCAACTGAACCCTCCGCCGCTTTCTCATTTGCGGACTTGCACCATGTTACCGCTTTTGCTGCTAATGCTGCCGGCTGCGGCTGCGGCCGTGGGGTCCGGGGAGTGCGAGCATAGCACGCTGTTGCAGAAGAACCTTGCCTCACTGAAAGCGCTCAAAGTGACGGAGGTGCGGAGTTTGTGCGGATCGTAGGCGCGGCTCGGTACTCATGGGAAGAGCTGAGAACAGGGATGAGAGAGTTTCTGTAGCAGCGGTTGGGAGTCTGACTGAAGGTCTAGATGTTGTTTCGATCACCCCCCTAGTAACAACGGCAAGGCTGGAGAGCTTGAACTTGAACTTCCACAGGCCCCAAACAGAAAAAAGCCGCAGAAGAAAATCCATGAAACTCCTAGTTTCTTTTGTTACTAGTAGCTAGGACGCTACTAGGTGGAGGCCATGGCCACTAGGTTGGAGGCCATTACTCCTAGTAACTAGTAGCAAGTAGCAAATAGCTACTAGTAGCTTCTTGTTTCTAGTAGCGATGGCCTCCAACCTACTTGCGATGGCCTCCACCTAATAGCATACAATGCCAAAAAGAATTGCGTGCTCGAAGCTTTGGGACTTCGATCCAAGACTTTGTTCCCCACACTTCACGCTGGTGTCGCACGGCATTGCATTGCTCCAGACGGACCAGACCCTTCAAAAGCCTGGCCAATCCTGGAACCCAAGAAGCTCAACCGTGATGGCGGGCGCAATGATTCGAGACTCACGCACCATACTTATGTGTACATGTATGTAATGTAATGTAATGTAATGTAATGTAACGTAGTGTAATGTAATGTAATGTATGTATGTATGTATGTGTGTATATAGATGAGAACACACACACATTATATATATACGTAACACATCACCCACGTCCGAGGTATAGACGAGATGTCATCATCTCAATACAGAGAGACTTCAGCGCATCACTTTTCACCAGAAAGCACAGGAAATCACTATGCCTCACATCACCAACATTCAAGAGTTGGATCAACAACTGTCGGCTTTCAATTCAAAGGTGTCCCGGAATGAATGTGTCAACCTGAGCAACCTGAGGGAGTGCTCATTCTTTGTCGGATTCTGTAGACTAGGCGCACAGATAGTCAGTGGGAGCGAGAGAGAGAGAGAGAGAGCAGAATGTACCATATGCATGTTTGTTTTCGTACGATGCTGCGGATGCATTTTAGTGCATGTATGCGTGTTGTATGAATCCACCATCATTTTTGGTTCTGCTGCTTGAGGGGCAACCTCACCCCATTAAGCTCTTTAGGATGGCCTGGGGCCTTTCATTTAGTTTCATTCACCGTGTTTGACAGACCGCGAGAAGGCGCCGGCCTTGTTCGCCGCGAAGGGCCTGAACATGACCACAGCGAAGGACACGCTGCAGATGGCAGCCAAGAACGTGTCAGAAGCAGTGGCATGGTCAATCACATGAGTCAACATGTCCAGATGCGGACCTGTATGCTCGATGTGCTTGTTTCATGGAGAGCTGCGAAGCTTCTCCCCTTTGCCCACTGCACTTGCTACGTTTGCTTCTTCCTGAACGCTTTAGGTGAAGAATGCCCAAGCCACCCTGGAGGCAAAGGAGGCGAGCTGCTGCGGCAACATACCGACGCAAAATAAGATGGTGGTGGGTCCCCAATTTGAGAGCCAAGTAACTAGATTCTTACGTATTAATGCATGATGCATGTTAATGTATGTGTGTGTTTTGCTCAGTTGAATTCCAGCCGTGAAATGCTGTGACTAGTTTGCACTTGGAAGCTTCCACCAAGCAGTTTGAGTGACCTTAGCCACGGGCATAGGTATCAAAAAAATAAATAAAAAGAGCATCAAAAAATACATATTCCTTGATAGGCCTCTTCTGCTGCTCTCTTGGCCTTGTGGTCTGCGGGTCCTCTGGTAATGTGGTCCCTCCTTTGGTCCCTTGGTCCTCTGGTCCACTGGTCCTTTGGTCCCCTGGTCCCTTGGTCCTTCAGTCCACTGGTCCCCTAGTCCTCCGGTCTCCTGGTCCTCTGGTCCTGTGGTCCGCTGGTCCCCTGGTATCCTAGTCCTTCTGTCTCCTGGTCCGCTGGTCTTTTGCTCTCCTACGGCGCTCGTCTGTCGATCTCCTGGTCCCCTGCTTGCGCAAATAGAGGCTTGATTGCTTTCTACTAGAGGCAGCTCCCTGGGAAGAAAGTAGGTACCCAACGATAAGGTTGCCGTCCAGTCATTGAGTAGCCCTACTCGAAAAAATGGTTCACCAGTAGAAATAGCTCCCTACTAGGAGAGTGGGCTAGAATATTTTGTTTGATTCCCTTTTTATTTTGTTATTGATCCCCGTTGAATATGTTTTTGTTGATTCTTTTTATATTTTTTTGGATCCCTTACCCTTAGCCACGGGCAAGTGACTAATGAACGGCATGAGTGTGCAGCAGTCATCCCGCTTTTCCCCCAGACTGATCACCTACTTTAAGGATTTTCTAATTGAATTACTTCCATTCTGGCTGTTGTTGCCGCGTTGGTTCCTAATTTTAAATCTGTGGGCTTCGCTGCTTGTTCCGAAATGACGCTGACGATGTGTTCTTGTTGCTGTTTGGGTCGTCACTCATTCATCATGGTATGTAATCTCAGCAACGAGCCGGTACACATGCCCCCTAATCAACACAAGTCTCAATCTTCCATGGCAAGCAGGCAACGATTGCCTTACAAAGGCTTCAAAGACATAACCTTCAAATGCATAACCTCATGCCCAGTTGAACATTGACACCTTGGAGTCCTTCAAGTCGGACAGCACTCACGAGCTGGAAAAGGTCTTTGAGGCGATGAAGGTGCAGCTGAGAAAGGGTACCTTGGCCAAGCTGAGCAAGAAGTGGCTCCAGATATTTGGGTGCAAGAAGTAGGCCCAGGCAAACTATGGGGCCTGATTCTTGCCACACAGCCTCCTAACTCATATGGGCTTTGAGAGGAGGACATTTATAGGAATTGCATTTGCTTGTTTTGAGCTTGCTGATTACTGAAACCAATTTGGACCGCTAGACGTGGAGCAGTGCAGTAAGCGATGGCTACCTGTGCCCCGGAGCGTCCGAAACATAGGGAGGTGTATAGACGAGTCGTATTCAAATGTATAAAACAGCTTCGCAAAACAGAACACTCCATGTCTCGCATGTTACCTGCATCGCACTTAGGGATTGTCCCCATGTCATGTGGTTTGATGTGAAATGGTTATCCCACCAGGCATCGAGCAGCTCCAGCCGGCCCTGAAAGCGCTGCTCATTTGCACCAATTTGTGCGGAAACGACACTTGGAACATTCCACAGGCCGAAAGACCGCGCAAAACATGGCCTTATGCACTTCATTGATTACAGATTTTGTGTGAGCAGGCGCGCTATTCAAAGCACGTTTTTTTTAAATATGAGCCGAAGCACGAAGCCACTTGAATTGTTTTGACCTCAGCTTTAGATCTCTACGAAGTGACCGGAGGGTCGCGAGTCGCAAGTTTTTGTTTTAGAGATGTGAAGGTTGAACCTCTCCTCGAGTGCTACCAGCCTGCAGAACATGTCCGAGACCGCCGAAAAGGAAATCAACAAGATGAAGGAGAGCGGACTGACGATGCAAATAGTCCCAGAACGGATTGGCATTTTTTGCTGTTTGTCTATTCCAACGTAATTCTGTTGACGATTGATTGCTCGGTACAACCATGTTGTGCTTCTTGGGGACGAACCCATGACCAATCAAGCAGGTGGGTTTTGGAAGCTTCTTGCTTCTAATAGCTTTTTGCTCCTAGTAGTACGGCCAGGAGCCCCTAGTAGCGTCCTTGCTCCTAGGGTCTCGGTACTAAGATCCCACTGACAAAGTTAAGAGATCAAACCACAAGACAGTGAACTTGCCCCAGCTCGCCTTATGCTTGGCTGCTTGGCGGGACATGCTGAATTTCATTCAAGGGGTATATTTAATTTTGCATTCTATCATATTACTTTTTTAGGGTTTCCCTTTAGTGGGCTTTGGCCTTGGCTTTGGTGGCTTTTGGCTTTGATTCTGAGGCTTCTTGGCTTTTGGTGGCTTTGTGGCTTTTGGTTTTGGCAGGCCTCTTGGCTCTTGGCTTTTGGGGACACTTGGCTTTTGGTGCTTCCTTGCATGTGGCTTTGGGTTGTGACTTCTTGGCTTCGGGTGGCTTCTGGATTTGGTACCTTTTGGCTTCTGGCTTGTGTGGCTTTTCGGAATTTGGAATTGGTGGGTGGCCTGGATTTTGGCTGGTCGCTTTTCGTTTTGTGCTTCGTGTCTCTTCGGGTGCCGTCCGTTTCATAGAATCAGGCCATGGCCTTGTGAGACAGACCTACCTACCAATTACATGCTACCGCCAGTTCCTGCACAGCTACGTGATTTCCTCCGCTATCCCCCTCCCCTTGATTTTGAAATCGGGGGAGGGGGGTAACCTTTAGAAAATTAATTTACAGTTTCACTTTTGCCTTGGTGTTTTCAAGGTTTTGGTTGATTTGGGATGACGTCGCCAGATCGTTTGTGGCTGCATGTGATTCCACTGCTAGGTGAATCTGTAGTTGACAAGAAGAAGAAGCACCACGACTTGCAAGCTAAGAAATTCAGATCACAACTTGCTAGAGCAGGCTTAGCAATGACAATAAAATATGCATTTTTCCAAATGCAGATATGAATCCGTGCATTCATTATGCCACATCGCCCTCCAGCACCGTGACTTCGGTCATCATGATTAGGGTCATCACCCTCCTCTTTTCCATACTATTTTCCTCTAAAGAGGAAGATCAAAGGAGTTCAAAAGGCAAGATTTAGATTTTGACGTACATTGAAAACAGAAGTTAGAAGGACATCAGCTAAATGTGAAGGACATTGCAAACGACCTTAACAGACAGGACCCAAAATTGATTTAATATATAGCACAAACACACATTGAACATAAAATATGGCACACTTGCAGGCAGAGCAAGAAGACCAAGAAAGATACCAACACATTTTTTTTAAATAAGAATATCAACATAAGAGTCTGAGCTCCTAATGCTGTTTGCGAGTTGCCTTGGCATGACTTCAGGAAGTATCCATTTTGAGACGGCAACATGTTCGATTGGTTCTCACAGAACCCCACAGATGTTTTGGACCTTTGAGCATCCAAACGGATTTCATCCTCAGCGCCAGAAAAGATATAATATATACATAACCACCACCGGCATAGAGGCTCAAAAAAAACAATTTTTCCAGAAAGAGTGTAGGAAGCAAGGCTTAGGAAGTGTTGATCAGCGGCATTGGAATCTTATTGTCATGCCTCAACCTTCATCCTTTCCATGTTGTTGTTTGCTGTTTGGCTGAGGGCTGGCAGCTCCAAGGCCATTTTACCCAGCTCCCTCCATTCTTCCAAGCCCTTGTTTTGTTTGCTCCCCGCACCCCATTCACTGACTCTCTTCAAACATGTTCCACTCTCACCAAGTGTCCGACTTCACGTCTCCTTCGTCAGGACGGCAGCGACCTGGTGGAGCTTCATGGGACAGACGTGGCGGCGACTGTGTGGGAGGGCAAAGCGTTTCTCACACAGGCCTTCCAAAACTGGACCAAGTCGGCTACCAAAGAGCTGCTAGATCAGGTGAGTAGCAAGGAACGTGAACTGCTGGAGACTTGGTCCATTGGGTGATGGTTTTCCTCGGATGGGTGAATGCAGGGCGTGTTGCTAGTAGTAAGGTGTAGCGATGCACATGGTTACTAGTAGCTTCTTGTTTCTAGCAGTAGGGCACCTTGTTGTTAGAGGATCTTTTTCCAGACAAGTCTTGGGATGGGATGAAGATAGAGCGCGCAGGCAGGGAGTGTTTCTCTTGGGGGCGCCTTGGTGGGTAGGTGGGTGGTCGGGATGGCCCATGTTGTGATGTTGAAGGCACCCCCCGAAGCTGCCTTGAAATATGTTTTCAGTTTTTTTGCAGAACTTGTTCTGACTTATGTGTTGATATTTGGCTAAGATGGGTGGAGGATGGTGGAGGTGAATCTGTTGGATGGATGTGCTATGATGGCGGTTGACAGTGATGTTTTCTGGGCAGGTTTGTCACTTGCAAATGCCCTCGAATCGATCCCACAATCTATATATGTTTGTGATTGCTGATTGATGGTTCGTAGGGGATTCACATGCGAACCCGCTCACCAAGCCAATCAAATGTGCAACATTGTCCAGCAAGCAAACATGACTTCATTTTTGACTCGGGCAGCCTTCTGAATCTGTTTAAACGCTTCCCAGTTCTGAACCTTTATCAAGTTCAATATCCACCACTTGTTTCTCGAGCTTTTGTGGTCAAAGAAGATGGTCTTGACAGTTTGACTGGGGGCGAAGGGCCTGCAGGGGGACAAATCCATTGGTTTGCCGTTGCTGCTGCAGAGCGCCAGAACTAGGAGACCTACACCAAGGAGAAGGTGTCTTCCGCCACAAGCATCGTGGATGACATGCTTGAACAAGCGGCCAATTTCATTGCTGCAATTTGCGCAGCGATTGAGGACGTTACATTGAATATTGAATATGAAGAAGGCACCTACGACCCAATGTCAGAGGACGACATGATGGCAGAGGGATGAACTGACCGCTGACCTTGGCAATGCTTTGCAGGAAAAAAACGCCCCAACGATCATAGGAAGCAGTGCGGCGGGGTGGCACATACCATTGGTTAAGTCAAGCATTTCTGTCCGGAGACCGTGGCATCAAATGTAGCTAGTCACTCAGTCAAAAACCAACCTTAGCCACCCATGTCCATCGGAAAGGCTGGCCCCACTTTGTGCTTCTCTAGAGGCCATCAAGGTGTTGGAGTCCAATTTGCTTTGAGTGAAATTGTTTGTTTTCATGGGCCGGTGCACACCCAAGGGCAAACCTGCCCGACAAAACCACTCAACGCTTTGTTCATGTCCGCCATGTGAACAGTTACAATAAAGCTGTTCCTTTGCAGATTACCTAGGTTTCCCTGGCCTCCAAGCCCTCCTGGGAAGGTATTTGGACCCTCCAAACCTGGCCTGGATTTGCCTCCCCCGGTTCGGTGATGTGCGCGCGACAAGCGTGTTTCTGCCAGCATTTTCGGACCGTGTTTCTGCCAGGCGGGTGGCATCAACTTTGAGGAGGACATGCTGCAAACAGTTTGTGAGCGAATGGAGGGCAAAAAGGCGGGGTCCACGGCCTTCGAGCCTCGAAGTTGTGCTTTTCGTGTGATGGGTCGCTTCTTTTCTTCAAGAAACGATCAATGTCAAATGAAGCTGAAATATGGTGAAAAGGCATGATAAAGTGCGAAGGTTGAGCCAACAGGCCATCCAAAGGTATCCCATTTTGGAACGAAGTTCGCCGACCAAGTTCGGCACCACCGTTCCTGGAAGATTGACAGAATGCTGCATGCTGCAGGAGTGCAGGATCACTTGTGCGGCTTTGGGTTTCGCCAATATGTTGAGGTTTGCTCAGTGGTCGTGACCGGAGCCGTTGCTGCGCTTTGCCAGGCGCATGAACTCATCAGCAGTGGCTTTGGGAAGTTTGCCGCTTGCGGCGGCGGTGGTGGTGGAGGTGGAGGCGGTGGTGGCGGTGCCGCTGCAGCTGGAGGTGGCGGTGGTGGTGATGCTGGCGCTGCAAAGGAAGAAGCTTGTACAAGCTAGCATATGTTGTTCCAACAATTAATCTAAAAAGTTGATGTGCACCGGTAAAGAGTTATTTCACCATTCCCAAGAGTAATTAAAGGGATAACCTTGGTTATCCAGATTAATTGTGGGGCAGGACTCTGAAGATCTCCAAAGCATCAATGTGTTGTGGAAGTGATGTCAGACACTCTTTTTGTCATGCCACATGCTGCCGTGCTTGAATCTGTTTTGTGTCCTAGACGGCTGAACCTGTCTTGATGCTTTGCCACATGCATTACTAAAACCGACTTGCCCAAGTAGGCCAACACCCAGCATGGGTGCTTGGGCACAAATGTCCAAGACAGTGATGATAAACAGCTGCAGGTGTTGGAGGGAAAGACAGTTTTTGGACCTGACTGGACTAAGGAAAAGAAAGTCGTGGAAGAAGAAGAAGAGGAGGAGATGGAGTTTGACCTATTTGGGTGAAGCTCGATCCATGGCTTCGTTGGGTGCGGAGAAAAAGGCTTTTCAGCAGGGCAGCTGGGCCATGCCGGGAGGCCTGGAAGTAGGCCTGGAATGTGATCCATGTCACTCCTTTTGAGTGGACAACAGGAAATGCTGCAATGCGGCTTTTCAGGTGAACTGATCATGCATCCTGTGGTTGACTCTGTGGAGCTTCAGGTTTGGGTCAACGAATCCCGCAAAGTCGGCCTTCCACGGAATGATGAGGACAGTCATTGATGCCCCTGACTCCTCCAACCTGGCTGACTCTTTCAAGTTGTTGACATGGTGTTCTTCAGGGAAGGTGCCGTCTTCAATGCGATCCCGTGGGAGTTTGGGAGTGGTCATCAAGCTCCTTTGTCGGGGTGGGCTTTCCTGTGATTCTAATGAAGTGACTAGGATTGTAGTTTAAGTCTAAGTGTTTAGCTGGGCAACTTTTCCCTCACGGCTGCCTTGTTGCAAAGGAAGCTTGTTAAAGCTATAGGTTCATCATCCCAGGTTGTTGAGTGGGAGAGTGTAGTGTAGGACCTAGAGTCTTTGGGTGGGGACCCGGATGCTTTTGGCTCGCTGAGATTCATGTGCATTCCTGCGGCCATTTCACACCAAGTTTGGCTCAGAGGTACCTCAAACAATCTGGAATCAAATATATACTAATATAGACTCATAGAGAAGACACATAAGCTAGAGCTAGTGCCCTGAGCTTGAATCAGATGAGTATATATAGAAAGACCTGTGACCTGGTCTCCTTTCGACCACGTTGAGCAACCCATATCTTGATGCCCTTTGGCCCCAAGTCAAATAGAGATGCTTTTCCTGAAAGGCCCCTGCAAGAGCAGGTTGTAGCTGGGAGTGCAGACCACCAAGGAGCGTTGTTCCCAAACACTTAGCTATGCAGCTATACATGCATACAGTGACGCAGAGACTGGAGGGTTACTTCCCGCTGAAGCTTGCATTTGAGCACGCCCGGGCACCCCGGGTCTTTCCTTGGGCTTGCAGCCATGGCCCGCGATGAGTTCAGTGGTGAGAATCTGACGATCGCCAGTGTGCATGGAGACTCCAGCCAGGAGCAAGTTAAGAGCATCATGTCAAACAATCAAATAAATTCAACTGACATCATAACTCAAAGAAGTTTGTCCTTTCCTGCGGGACTCGAACAGGATCTTCTGACCTTCTGAACTGTACAAGGCAGCATTGCAGGGTTCTCTTCATTTATATACCCGACAGTTTTCATGTGTAAAGGTGCCTCTCACGGGCCTGACACCAAAAGGCAAAAATAACAAGGAAGCTGAATGTCGCCCAACCAGCGGCAACTTCGATTCTTGCAGGGCATACTTGCAGCTCAAGGTGTGGCCAACATCAATCCCATAAGCGATTCCAAATGAGTTTAGAGCTTCCACGCTCGTTGTGCAGATGCTTAGCTGCATCGGGCGCCTTCGCTCCTGCCAGGAGGTGTGCCGGAAGAGGTCGCAAGCGGAGGTAGAGGCCGGGGTGTTCAGTCTCACCCCATGGGTGACATGGTCACAGCCAGCTGTGTGTTTGGCTTTTGGGTGACCAGACCCTTCCACCATGATGTTCTGGGCTTGTAACTGTGGAATCTGATGCTCCTGCTCACCTGCAGTGCTTCACGGTTGCTTTCTTTCATATGCTTTTCCAAGTTGTTTATTGTGCTTGACAGTTGTGACTCTTGACGGCACTTTGCATATACTTGACGTGTGGTTGCGGTAAACGCTTAGATTTCAACATGAAGGTGTTTATCAGCAGGCTATCCTGCTTTCACAAACATGTCACATGTCAGTGGAACATGACTTCAACAATTCAACCAGCTTCACCAGCCCTGCTGTTTGGAAATGGTTCTTATAGATAGACTCATGGATGTTACTTCCAAAGACCATTGCACAGAAGACAATTGTTGATAGGTATAGTCGGTATAGTGGATCAGCGAGATACCCATTTAAAATAGTGTGCAATGTGTTTAAGAAACGCCTGGCTTCCTCAATTCTTTTGAGGACATTGCTGCCAAGGCAAAATCCTCTTCAGGTGCTCCGACCTCGGGCGTGGGCTTCACGTTTTGTGCTTTACCGCTTTACCCTGTGCCTGATTTCCCCCCTCTAGTCTAGTGTGACTTCGCCACTGTCCTCGAAAGCTTTTGCCACACATGGCCCTAATTGTTTCCAGCAACTGTTGCCGAAATCATTATTTTCAGTCATAGGCAGAGAGGTATGGGAACATGACCGGTTTCACGGATTTTTGGTTGGTGGAATTTGCTCACACAACAACTGCGATGTTTCTTAAAACCATTCGTTGGAACGAATGGCATCTAATGGAACAGGAAAGATCATAATGAAATCTATGTCATCCAGTTTGCCTAGCTGCGCATTTGAAGCAGCGAGTCGCAACTTGTTGAAATGAGTTGTTCCAATCACCTGATGGCCTTAGGTCCTGATCCGTTTGCTTCAGGCTTGTTGAGATCGTTTTTTCATTGCCAAAAGGCAGCTTCTTTGGCGAAGAGGAGAAATCGAAGAAGGAGGAGTGGGTTTTCCCAGCCTTTGCCACTGCAATGCAAGTAGATTGGAGAAATTGAAAACATGAACAAGGACAAACAGCTAATGTAGCTGCTGCAGCTGTTGAAGTGCCATAGAAAATCATAGAAAACATCGTCAGTCCACTGCACTATCTCTTTGTATCTCTTCTTCCTGGTCATAGCGAGTTGCATTGCCCCAGATGTGTGCACTCACATGTTTCAAGTGGTTCAATTGATGCTGCTGAACTTGCCCCCAACATGCCGCGCCTGAGCCACGATGCGTGTTCTTTGCCAAAAGACCATGCGACGTGTAGATGAATCGAACATGACGCGGGTAACTACGTGGGTCAGGGGAAGCCGGGGAAACATGAAAAGTTTTTGAGCCAAAACAGGGCCCGAGTGCTTTCGGCCAAGGATGTCTTTCCTGAAACACTACGCTTGGGACCTTGGTTGCTGGGGCTTGATTAGGACATGTAAAGACCAGTGAGACGGAATCATGACATGGCCAAAGACGAATTTCCTGAGCTAGAGGCTGCTTGTTTTGCAAGCATTTGTGAGAAGGTGCTAACGATTCCGGCCCTCCCTGGGTTTCCATCCCGTTTCACTGAGGTCTCCTTTGGCCAAAGTCTTCCTGGTGATCTTGGTCTCCTTCGTCCTTTGCACATTGCCCTTCCTCACCAGACCTGAATTGCCATCGACCAAGTGGAATTGGACGTGACTTTGCCGCGAAACAGCTCTGCGTTTTTTTCGAAACGGGGCAGCGAGTTAGTGAACGCAAGTGGGCCAATTGGAAGCACCTGGTTAAGAGGAACCTAATTGGCATACGCTTGTGAAAGGACAAAAGCACTCGTGCTGGTGTAGTGAAATGATTTGGAAAACTGCCGGGTGAGCTCCCACAGCGGCCCATGTGCAATGATGCTGGTGGTCACACATTGCCACATAGCTGGAAGCCCTTTTGAGCTGTGTTATATAACTGTCCTGTTTACCGTCAGAACGATTCCCAAACCGTCCATCCAAGATTCAGTCGAATGCCATGTGCACGCGACGCGACCATGTTTTTTTGGTATGCGTTTGTGAAGCAAGATCAACAGAAACCCATTTAAGTTGCAATTCTGGGTCAGCATGTTTCAAAACATCTGCGTTTCCATGTATTGCGCTAGTGCCCAGGTATGCCGCGGTGTCAGCCTACATGATCTTCGTCCAAAATCAGTCCGTCTATAAGTACAAATGGTTTCCTTTAGCCACCTACACTTGCTGCTTGGCATCTTTAGTCCTTTTGATTGGCAAGGATGAGACTGGGTGCTCAGTCTTTGGCTTATATTGGCAACCATGGCGGTCATGGACTCTCAGTTCCCGTCTTTGGAGGGATTTCTCACCTGGATGGACTCCCAGGTTGGTCATATTTCCTCTTGAACCTACACTTCCTCTTCCACGCGGTGGATTTCCCGCTGGCTGCTGAGCTTTTGCGATTCCCCTCACTGGCAATGGCCACTGTGACCACCACAGCTCCTCGGAGAGCATTCATGAGCGGTCACTAGGACTGCATGCATGATGGGGTGCAACGGCGTAGTCTTTCTGTCCTCCAGCCATACACACATGGATGGGAGTGCAAAAACTAGAAGAATCTTGGGAGGAGACCAGCTTTGTGTATATACTTCTTCTTGAGGGTGGAGCCTTCAGCTTCGATCTAGAGGGAGTCTTAGACGAGTGCAGTTCGCTCAGTTCCGATCTCCAAGTCTCAGTTCGCGTTCGCAAGATCTACCAGACCCGAGATCTCCATGGTGACTCCTGAGGTTTGGTGGCTCGTGCTTTTCCCAGTGATTCTGGGATGCCTGGTGGCAGACAGTTTCTGCGGGCAGCATGACCCAACACAGAAAGCCAAGACTCGACCGTTCTTCAGCCTGTCCAGCGGCATGATGAAAATATACCAACCAAAACCGGCTGCTCTGGGCCAAACATGTTCGAGTCACACACGAGTCTACGAACTGGAGGGCCATTTGAGGCACATTGGCGTTCATGTGAGCTTTCATGTGAGGATTTTGCGATTCAAAAAGCCGGTCTGGCTTCATGAAGCTGAACTTCAGCGACTGGGAGTCATTTTGCACGTCAAAGTTGACTTGTGGCAAACCGGGTGCGAATCATATGGAGCATGTGAACAGCGTGTAGAAAAGATTGAAAAGAGTGAAACAGAAAAGGTATGAAAAGGTACTCGGACTCCGGACCAGGCCTGACCAAACGCTTCCTGGTTTGAGCGTGTTGATATACTCTGACATGGACGACGACGTGGGATGAATTTGAGGGGACCTTCCAAGACTCCGAAGCGACTTGTACACAAGTGTTGGAAAGCAAAGTGCCAAGACTCACTTTTACTCAACTCCATTGCACCCATAGCTATTATGTGCGCCCTTAGTGTCAAGGGCTTAAGAGCCGGCCTAAGTATATATATATACATAACAACAAAATGAACAAGGCAGGTCGGCCAAACCTGTGAAGTGCATGTTGTGAGATGTTCCTGCCAGGCCTGTAGTAGTTGTTAGGTGTCGTTAGTGCATGTAATGTTGGTGCGACAGGGTGCATGAGCATAACTTCTGATTCTTTCTCACTTGAGGCTTCTTCCTGATGAATATGCATCTCCTCAACTTTCCCTTGGCTTTATCATCCTATTGGCTCTTACCACGAGCTTTGGTGTTTACAGACTTTTGGGTGGCCACAATAGTTGCGATCGTTTACTTGCTGCTTGGCCAGCTTTGATCGCCGAGGGTGGTCACTGCTTCCAAGAGGAGAGGAAAAGCTCACGGGCCACCCGTTTTCCTGAGATTGCGTCATGGTTCTTCACGTTCATAAACCAATGATCAACCACCTTGGTAGACTACCACAAGAAGCGGAAACGGCCCGCAATGACGGTTTTTGTGCCATCAAAACTTTAAAACCCAAGGATGGAGTTTTGCACATGGTTTTCTTGATGCCGCTGGGTAGACCACCCGGTGTCTCCCTGAGATCGACACAGTTTGATTGGTGAAGGCGATGAAGTAGCGCAGGAGAGACCACTGCGAGAGCACCAGGCTAGATTAAGCTAGGGAAGGTAGAAGTAGATCAGACCTGGCCCTGATCAGTGAGGCGCCCCACTGCTTTCTTCAGCGTTCTTGGATCTGAGGTTCTTCTACTTACTCGTTCTTGATCCGAATGGTGTGCATTTGTACATCATTTTGCCTCTTAGACGTGGTCAGACTGTGAGAGATCCGACTTTGTTTGAGCATGCGAAGGCCCATACACCTTGCGTCCAATGTAGTTGATGTGCTTGGATTAGTGCACTACACCGGGGCGCCTGAGGCACACCATGGCACAAGCTAGCCTTAGAGAGCAGATAACCTGGCCCTCCCAGGTCACCACGTCCCTGGTGGTGCGTGCTATCATACTCAGGGATTTTGGCGCGACTCGGCGTAAACATATTTCTGTGGCGGGGAAGGGTATGCTAGCTTAGCATGGCACTAATATGTGACATTATACATACATCATCATACATCATACATCAAAATGTAATTATATACATGTATGCCTGGACCCGGAAAAGATGTTTTTTCGTTCGTCTCGTCGGAAAACATGACGCACAAAGATGCAGCAAGTTTCCGATAGAAACCATGACGCCAACATGATGCAGAAGTGGCAAAAACAACGCAGAAGCAACAAGCATCGACACCACAATTGCTCGTTGAGTTGCTTTCGAGCTTCGCCGCCTGAAACAAGTTTACCCACCAGGACAAATGACGTTTTTTGAGGGGTCTAAGTCTAGGTATCTATATATATATATGTATATATACTGTGCGCTGGAGAGAGAGGGGGAGAGAGAGAGAGAGAGAGAGAGAGGGAGGGAGGGAGAGAGAGAGAGCGAGCGAGCGAGCGAGAATTGAATGCAAACGTTTTCTATGATCTCCCATCCCACATTTTTCCGAACATTTTGATTGCTTGTCATGGCTTCCTGTGACTCAGTGCGTCTGAGAGCTTGAGGCTCTATGCCGGACTTTTCCAGGCCTTTTCTCACCACCCTCACCTTGGTTGAAGCCATGTGTTCGAGTGAGGGCGCTTGATAGTAGGAGGATGTCATGGATTTGTTGAGTGAGTGCCCTTCCTGAACTAGGGATGGGCATCATTTCCAGGCACCATCGACATCCGTCGACCCTCAGGGCCGACCAAAACCACGGAGCGTGAGTAAAAACTTCCCGAAATGTCAGAGGCTTGTTTTGACCGGCTTGGTGATGGTCACAAGCACCTGAATTCTTCCACACCCAGTCAGGGAACACCATGTTGCCCAGATTCTGCTGCTGGCACAATTAGTAGATACTTGTAGCACGGCTTTGCCCTTGTGACCTTGCCCCTTGGCTCACAAGTGCACCAGTCACATACATCCAGACGCCGTAGCCTGCAAGAATAGGCCACAATAGCTACGGAACCTTAATGTTCCATAATGTTCCCCTGTTTGGGACTGTAACCAGCTTGTTTTTTGGCGATCCCAAAGAAAATAAGCAAGGACTAGTATTTGTGACCAAATCGCATGTCCCTCTCAAAGTATGGTTTCTTACCCCAACAAGACAACAGAACCGTTCAAAGGCAAGCATAAGAGATTGAATCTTAATGTCATTGAATATTTTGGCTCTAGAGTCTACAATGGCACGAAGTATTTGCAAAATATGTATTCCGACTCTCGCTGCTGTAGGGCCCAGCTTTGGACGCCCTGCCCAAAAATTTAAAATCACATAACCTAGCTTCCATTTCTGTGTCATGGCTTCTGCCCTGCGCACGGAAGAGCGATGGCTGGAGAGCGGGCAGCCAGATCCAGTGCTTTGGTCGAACTCAGTGGGATTCTTTCTTGGATCAGGATAGGGCCTTCAAGATATCGAAGGATGCCAACTATTGTCGTGTGGTACCAGTAGTGCTTTTCATCTCTCTCAGGGGTGCAGTGCCCCCCATCCACGTGTTTATCGGGGGAGGACATCCAACACTTCCTCCTTTCACATCTTGTTCTGTGGGCTGTCACAGGGTAAGCAGGGGAACTCAAAAGAAACAGACGCCTTGCTGTGCAGCTTCGTGACCTGTGAGTTTGTGATTCTTGAACCATTTGAAACATGCGAGCACTTGTTCGAGGACACTCACAGCCTTTGGGGTGATTCTCATTGTACCACTTGATGCTTTTACTTGGTATTGGTCCCAACTCATCAATATAGAATCATAATCATTATCATGACATCAGATGCTGCGATTGCAAGATTGCAAGACTCCAAGATTCCTGTCTCAATACGATTCTGTCAGGTCTTCTTGGGAATGGTGGAGGATTTCAAGGCCTTCGATGAGGCGCGTCGATTTCATGCGCTGCGTTGACCGAAAGAGCATCCAAATTCAGTGATTACACGGCAGGTGTATGCAGGTGGCTTGATGCTAGACCTCGTTGTTGATCCGGAGATCCTCCATTTGAGGCTTCAGTATGCTTCAGACAGTTAGATGTTTGATGATTTTTGTTTTTTCTCTCTCTCTCTCTCACTTCTTAGATTCTTGTCCCACCAGCACATTCGCCCGAAGAAGGACAGCTCGTCTCCAGTCCCGTGGATCAGCTCCCTCCTGACATGTCGTGACGAGTCTCGTGAGATGAGTCGTGACGGTCGTCGTGTCGGAGGTCCTGCAAACGTGGAGCGAGAAGCTGGAGATCTTTGTGCCCCTTGACGCCGGGCAGGTGTGAGAGAACAATGCAATGAACAACACGGCGGGTTTGGAACTCATGACGCAAGGGTGCAGGGTGGCATCACTACATATTAACTACATGGGTTTGACCAAGGATTGGCAAGCCTCACGCATCCTCAGGCAGTAGATGGCAGGAGGGGTGTGGGTCAAACAAGTTTAATATGGTAGCTGTTCGACCTGCTGGCATCCTGCTTTTGCTCGCAGACCAACCTGCTTTTGCCATGCAAGCCGAAATCGGTAGAAGTTGTGTAGACCAACGTGTGAAGCCGGTGTGTGTGTGTGTGTGTGTTTGCTTGCGGAGCCCCGTAGCCAGAGTAGGTTCCACCTGAGGTTCTTTATAATGGATTGTCCCTCAGGATGTCAGTGGGAGCGGGGAAGATGTGTGGACCAACTGACACCGAGGCGCGGCGTTCAAGAGCTGTCGCTAGGCGAGGTGTGTGTTGTCATGCGGTATCATTGCGCGCAGCTGGTGTGTTCATGAGTATTTCTTGTCACCGAAGAAGCTGGAGCTTTTCATGTCAGGTGTGCAGAGCCTCTCTGAGGGCTTAGCAGAAGAGCTGAAACGACAGGTGGGAAACAGCTGAAACGACCGGCGTCCAGTTGCATAAAGCATCGCCAATCCTGCTCCCGTTTGCAACCCTTCACACTCAGTTTGTGTCGCTGAGCATTGATGGAGCTGCCATCAGCCCCTTTTGGCTCGGAAGCCCTTCGCGTGCAGGACCGGGCCTTCCTCTCTGAAGGCTGTCGCTTTCGCGAGGCGGCTCAAGAGATTGTTTGCCGCCCCAGAGGGTTGTCAGCAGGGTGTGTGCCCCACTAAGATCATGAAACAGGGAAGTCATTGTCATCCTGCTGAATGCTTTGACTTGCTTTCATGTTGGCAGCCTTGTGCTGGCAGCCTTGCACGCAGCCTGAGGCAGATGTGTTCCAAGAATGCTAATACATGCTAATACCGAGGGAGAGCATGCACAAAAGTAATCAAAATTAAATGTTTGGCAAGTAAAGATGTGGTAAGTTAAGTTGCTAGGTTTGGTGCAGAGGTTGAAGACATTGCTCCACCATCCTTCCCCCCAAAGAAGGATCTGGAAAACCTTGGCAGAGCTAATCCCAGAGCCCGCCCCAGACCGGCGAAGACTGGGTTTGACCGATGCTGAAGAAGGCTTTCCACCGATCGCCCTGGGCCCTAGCGTTGTTGGCTTCCGGCGCCACCGCGCTGAGTCCCGGCGAGATGCGCCACACAGCGTCATTGCACGGTTCGAGCGGAACGTGGAGTTCAACATGTCCAATCCGCTCAAGGCACGCTGGGTGAAAGCACCGGTCGCAGGTCGTCCTGTCACGTCCCCAACGGATGTGCACATGTTTTGCTTACTGTCGAGGTGCATTCCACAGTATTGGCAACGGGTGGGTGTTTACGTTCATATACTATAGATATAAATCCCTACCCCCTAAGGGGGGGCGCGTCAAAAATGTAGGACATGGAAGCCCTGTATTTACATTTATCAACCCCCACCCAAACCACTCACTTTGGGGGGTGTAAATGTAACTTACTGCTTTAAAAGGGGGGGGTTAAAATGTAACTTACTGCCTCCGACGTGTGTAGGGCCCATTCTGAAGACACGGTGCGGCGCACTCCGACTTTCCGACTTTTCCTGGCTTTGAAAAAAGCCGCTGATTCTGCTTTGGCATGTTGAGAAATGCCGTACTATTCAATGAAGCCTCAAAAATGTAACTTAATGTTTGGAAAAATGTAAGTTACATTTTTGAGGCGTATGGGATGTTTGACCAATTGAGAGGCCTCAAAATTGTAAGTTACAATTGTTCAGGTGATTTAGTATTTGTAAGTTACACCTTTTGAGGTATCAAACCTAGGAAATTGTAACTTACAATTAGGTGACGCCCCCTAGGTAATCGGTAGGGATACTGTAAAATTATCACACACACACATAATATATAATTATGGCTTACATTAGTTTACGATTGGTGACGACTGGTTTGCTTTCATTGCTGTGGCAGCCGCTGCCCCTTGCCACTTGAATGAACCATGTACGGCAATGGTCACAAAAAAGTCAGTTGTTCGATTCCGATGCCGTACTGATGGTGTCCCGATGTGCCATGATGACAGACGTCAAATGAGTTTGCTCCACAACTCTCAGCAGAATTTCATCACGAGCCCATGCCCAATGTCTCAGAGCAGAAGGGGAAGTGGCAATTTCAGGACAAGCCAAGAAGTTCTTGTCTATTCTTCAAGAAGTCCTGTATATTAGACAGCTAGGTCTTCCCAAATGACTCTGTGACATGAAGTTACAGTAGATCTCCAGGACCACTTGGACAATCATGCCAAGCTGCGGAAAGATCTTGAGAAGCGTGAGCTGCTCTTTGGCGGAAGTGGTCTCGACGTTCTGAACGTTTCACTCGCTCAAAAAAGGATCCAAAACCCAAGAAGCATCCAGCAACCCGGATGGACGGGATGATTGAAGGGATGTGATGTGTTGCAGTAGGGTTCCAAACACCCCTCATCAGGGTATCTCGCTTGGTGGGGCCAGCTTAGAGATTGGTGGGTTGCTCGATTCAAGGCCAATCCAAGGAAGTTGATGCTTCTTGCGGAGAGCACGCTTGAGGAAGAGAAACCAGTTATGTACTAAGCCATAAAATTGATTATATATGTATTCACTTTTGGTACTGTGGGTTTGGTTCAGAAGACTCAAATCATTGGAAGTTATGTTATTATGTTATGCCTAGGAGTCTGCATAGGAGTTTGGGAGAACTGGTTTGATTCAAAGCCTCAGGTGCTTGACTGCAGTTCAGGATGCGCTCAAACAAGTTGAGCTTTGCGAGGACTGTGGAGCAGTCGTGTCACGGTTACTTCCTGTTCCCATTCTTGCTGAGATGATGCATGATGAAGCTTTGCTCATTTTCCAGGAGTTACAGCCAGGGATAGTTTCGGATAGTTTATGGAGTTTTTTTCCTATTGTTTCCTGCCTACCCCACCCCAATCACTTCCATCATTATTGATACACCACCACAAGTTGCATGGGTAGCTCTTCTATTATTCCCAACGATTGGCGGCCCATGCAGTCCGTCATGTTTTTGTATTTTTGTGTATTTTTTGACTCGTTGAATGCTTGGAAGTTGCTCCTTGATGAAATCGGTCAGCTTTGGGTGGTCGTGGTAGTGTTGACAGCTGTCTACTCCACTCGGCCACCGGAGGAGTTGACAGAAGCAGATCTTCGCAAGAGGTTGGCCAAAGATGAGTTCAGAGCATCAAAGGCGGAAAACGTGCGGACGCTATACGGTATCGGAAGGTAATTCGCTGTAGCCAGTGATTTCAATCATAAGGTCTTGAGAACAATTTTGGTTTAGTTATGTTTAGTTCTTTTACTGGGCAACCTTTGGTGATTCCATTTGCTCTCTCACGAGGCCACCTTCAACAAGGTCAACCGCAGCATTTTCCATTGGTTGTATGTCTTGGAGGAGCATCGAGGAGACATTATTGACTCCTGTGCCTTTGTTTGCACGATGGGATTTTAGCAAACTCATGTCGAACTTGAAGATACGTTTGAGTGTATGCGACCATTGAAACCATCCTAGAGCCCTCTCAAAACCGAATTTCCTGTCAGTAACTCGACCACGAGGGAATTCACTTACTAGAATGCCCATAATTGACATGTTCCTTATACTATAGTCAGTGCTATATACTATAGGGAATCGGGAATCATACGACACGCACCACCGTATGCTGGGTAGATATTATGAAAGCACGACAAGGCGTCCCGCAAAAAATGAGTTGAGGTTGAGAATGTGATGTAGAGCACACAGTTCCCAAGTTTCGCCCATGCCTGCCCTAATTGCAGGGTTCCCAGTCACTGGCTTCAGGTTTGCAGACGGTGAAGTATTTGTCACTTGGCTTGGCAGACTGACAAGGGGACTGCAGGCCTCAAATTGACCAATGCAAGAGGCGATGCTTTCGCTTGAGATGGCGATGCTCAGAATGCTCAGAGCCTTCAAATTCAGAATGATGATTAGATCATTGCAGTTGTGTTTGCAACCAGATAGTTGAAGTTGAAGTTTGTTTTTTTAACCAACACGCTTCGCCGCCCCTCTTAGATTAGAGCATCGAAAGGACAAGGTCATGTTCGAAAGACGACATGCGTCCATCAATGGGCGTGGGATTCACAGCCATTTGCATGTGTTTTTCGAACACATGGTTCGACATAGTGCTTTTTTGGTCATCAGGGTTCGAGGTCAAGAGTGGTCTAATATATGTCTTTATAGTGATGATGTTCGTCGTATTTCTTCGGTGTTTGGGAAAACACATGAAAGAAACTATAGCAGAAGGTGTCATTGCAGCAGCTGTCAGGCAATACGATTTCTTCTCCTTTGCCGCGCATGCTGTGTCCCACGTGCTGCCTCAGCAGATGTCCTTTCGACCCATGACAGACCCTTGGACTGGGCAGTGGCGATGTTTGCTGTCACGATGATGAGGATGATTTAGGGTGACTGTTCACAGTCCACAGTCGGTTTTAGTTTCATTTTGGGTCAAGACAATTTTATTTGCAGACATGTGGATTTTAATGAATAATTATATGTGAGAATATATGAGGAGGATATAGGGAACTCAGGAGGCAGGCCGTGTTTCACCAGCCATTCTACAACTGGAACCTCCTTTGTCCCTTGGTTCTGCCCTTTTTGGAGGGGCCATTTAAGGAAGCTCAGATGAAAGGGTACACGGCCAATTCTACTCAAGTCTTCCAGGTGTGTTCAAAAGGCATCACGTTTTCTCTCTCCAATCCCGTCGGTCACGGTCCATATGAGGGGCATGGATTTATGGATCAGAAAAGGTTCACAGCTTCGTGAGCTGCACCTGGTGCAGAGAAATGGGACGCCACATAGACTTGGATCACAAGACCTGTTAGATTTCACAGGAGGTCTAACCTATATACACTCTTCCAGATATACGTGTCCCGGGGTGCATTTGGGACTAGTCCCTAACATGTTCAGCTCTAGAGCGGTATTTCCTGGGGAATAGTCGGAGAAAACGGTATCATAATGATTTTGAACATGACCCAACATGCCTCGAAAAAACTGCTAACCTGTCCCATCACAGAAGAGATGCCCATTTTTGTGACGGGCTATGTTAGCTCTTTTTTGGGCAAAATCTTGGGGTTTCTAAAATTCGTAAACGGACATGTTAGCATTGTCCGCGCAAACATGCCCATCAAGACACCAAAGCAAGGGAGCCACACTTCTGCGGGACACCAGCACTTCACTTGCCAACGCTCAGTATCCCACACCAGGATTTTTGATAATGCTTTTATATGATTTTAGTCTAGATTCCCAGAATCACATTGCAAGCCAAAGACCTCTAAGCAGCTAACCTGTCCAAATCACATGTTTGCAAACACAACTTTTGAATCGCTAACGTGTCCTGCTCATGGATCTGACCTTCCAGGTCACCTAACTTAAACCAAAAAAAGAAAAGTGTTGAAATTCCTCTCACCCCTATGGACCCCGTAGCGTGGACTCTCAAGGTAGAGTACAAAAGGTACGCTTACCGGACTATCAGGGTTAGCTAGGTAGTTAGAACTATTAGAGCTGATCCTGTAAAATACAGAGTGAACTGCGAGTTCCTCATGCAGCATGGAAGTGAGGTGGGTGGCAGGTCACTGAGGGCACCACAGGCCAACGCGTGCCATCACTGGTTTGTGCACCTTGTGGTTGTGAGGAGGATGTAAGAGCTGCCGCTGTGTGCCGTGCGCATGGGTGTCGGGTCCTTTACCATGCAATGTCGCGACTGCTTTGTTTCAGCGGTGCACCCTGCAAACTGCCTTCAAAGGCGGGGGGTGTTGTTGCTAAGTGTGTGTCCTTTTCTTGCAGTTTGATACCGGCTGCCCTTAGGGCCGGTGCGTCCAGTGTGTCCCTGCTGTGGCTTTCCTAGCTGCAGGGCACGCTTGGGGTGGGCACATACATGTTGGTTAAAGCTGGCGGTATTCCAAAAACTATAAAAAGAACAAGTCTTTAAAAGGATACGTTTAAAAAAAAACACGGGAGAGTAGGTGTTTCTTCCACCAGTCCAGGAACCACTGGAGATGTGTCTTGCCTAGTGGCCTAGTGTAGTGACCTAGTGGCCTAGGGTTGTTGTGTGAAATCCAGCCACCTGCTCAGATTGAGGAGATGCTTCCTGATTCCTTACAAGCACAAGTGCAACAGGAGCTGAATTTGTCTGAGACTATCGAGGCAATGTGTTTGTCAAAGCCCTATGCCACCACGAAACGAAAGGATCAAAGCGCTTTGGGGACTGTGAAGCGTAGGACCCAATTGTACTTGAGGATGACAAAGGTTGCGACATGTGCATACATTTACGTCCATCCTTCAAAGAGTGTTTTGTGTTTTTTTCGGTCGGCAATCAGTGGAAGTAAGGAAACACAAGGAAACCTTGGATTCCACAGTTGAGAGCGGAGTTGCGAAATTGCCTGTTGCTATTGGTTTGACTTCGTCACCTTGCATCATGTCGCTTTGGAGATTCCTGCTGAAAAGCGTATATACATATATATGCATTATATGATATATGCACTTAAGTTGCATGGGCTTGCTTCCGACAGTCTGAACCTGTTAGGCGCAAGATGTACGAGAGATCTTCGTGCAAAGGCTCTTGCAGCGCCTGGTGCGGGAGAACAAAGATCGACCAGGCCATTTTGCTGCTTTGGGATGTGGTTGCTGAAATTTGCCTGCAGGCTGCGCAATATCCTTTTGTATGATCTACAATTCTTTCTGGTCTGAGATTTAGGCTGCTTGAACGACTGCCTTTGCTGGTGGGCTAGTCAAAGCAAAAAGCGCCCGGCACTCCACGTTGGTCTTACAGTGCACGCACTGCAAGACATTTTATTGTTTTTTGCCTACATGCAATCATATCACATACAGATATAGTTAATTATCATAATTACATGTAGTGTGTGGCACCCCTTGCTAAAGCTTATGTAGATGAGCTTCTTTGCTTGCTGTTGACATGTCCTCTCAACATGTACACCTGACCTGGACATTTTACCAGACATACCTGAATAGGGTGGTTTCCCGTTGCTAGGTTGGTGGCCCAGGAGTGTATGATTCAAATTTGATAGCCTCCAGGCTGGGGTAAAGATTCCCTGTCAATTCTGCAGAGGTGCGCCTGCCACAAGCACACCAGCGATACAGGCCAAGTGAGCGCGTTTTGGGCAATGTTGAGGCACCTGAACGCATCTGGTAGCATATTATGTTTCACCACCATCTCAATCAACATCATCCATGACATTTGTGAAAAACAAGCTAGGTTCAGGTGCAGGGTAGTAGGGGATCTGAAAGAAACATCAACGACCTGGACCAGCCCAGCAGCTTCTGCCCTTCGCGTGTTGTTCAACAGAAGTCAGAGATAGATACACCCGCACACTGGAGAAAGCATGAGACAGAAACAGTCTTCCCCCAAGACTTGGGCATCCTCAGCATCACGGTTCAGCACACCTTGGAATTACGTGTGGACGTGTCGAGTCGCTGACGCCGCTGTCGAGTCGCTGCCAGGTGGACCCGTTGTCTTTGAGTTCCTTGCTGTCCCACGGCTTCGATGAGGGCCCTGCACGGAGGGCACTCAGGAAGACCAACAACGACACCCAGGCAAACGAAGAACGGTGGCCCTGTCTTCGTTTTGGAAGGGTGTTGAATGATGTTGAATGTCGTGTTCGTCCAAGAATGTCGCGACAGAACCTTTTGCCTCCGCTATGTCGGCACAGGCAGCCATGGAATGGCTTTTGGCGGGCGAGCCTGCTTGCCGGGCGAGGCGCCGGAGCCGTTCCGGGGCGGAAGCTGGCAGATTTGTATAGATGTTTGTAGGCCGGGAACATTAGAACACCATGAAGACCATGAATATCATGAAGAGTCAGACATTTCAAGGGTGGTGGGTGTGGCTCCATGGCAAACATGTCAAACATGTTAACACGCTACTAGTAACGATGTTCGCTATACTAAGAACAAGTGCATCGCTTCTATAGTAACAAGTGCCTTCCTAGTAGTAACAAGGACGCTACGAACGTAACAAGAAGCTATTAGAAACAATAAGCTATTAGAAACAATTGCATCGCTACTAGTAGCAAGTGCCTTACTACGTAGTAGTAACAAGAAGCTAGAACCTTCTTTTTCGCGTCGTTTTCTTCGGCGGCCGAGCTGGCGCGCATCTGAGCGATCGGATGCCGCTTCCGAGGACCACTGAGCACCGCGCGTGAGGAAAAGTGGCCGGGGCAGTCGGGAGCAATCCGAGCAGTGTGCATCGGAGCCCGAACCAAAATGGCAGGTTGTGCTGGTGAGGTCAAGCCGCAAGCCCACTTTATGGAGTTAAAGGCGTCCCTGCTTGCGACAGGGAACGCAGATGGACATTGGCGCTGCCACAAACATAGCTCCTGACTGGGCTCAAACTTTACGCCTGCAGTGTCAACATTTAGCAAGCATGTTCAATCTTAAAATTTGTCAATGTGAACATGGTGTGCCGAATCTGTGCCTTTTTCAGCCGTACCTTGCCCCTTCCACAGACGCTTTTTCGCTGAAGAGTCCCACGAGCAGATCGGGCCATGGCGGGCTCAAGCACCCACCAGACCGAAGGCCGTGGGATGTTCAGCGTGTGAGTGATGCTGGAAGCGTCGGGCCACGAACTGTCGAGGCGTCGGGTGATGTGGTCAAGCTGTGGTCAAAGATATGCCTCAAGGATCCGATCCTCAAGGATTTAACATGGCCCTTTTGAAAGGATGCCGACAACTAGATTTGCGTGTGTGGAATTTGGAGCCAGATGAGCCAACGGCCAAGGGTTGTTGGGCTTGGTGATCGGCCTCACCGGCTCTGACTCTTTGGCTCCACCCGACCTGCTTTCTTCGTAGGAAGCCGCATATGGTGAGGAAGGTCCCCAAGGTCGCCACTACGGCCTTAAGGCCTGGTGTTCACGGACTGGGCTGGGTGGTCGCATCCATCATGCACCGAACAGGGGCACTTGGAATCCAAAGAAAGCGTGGACGTTTAAAATGTTTTTGAGTGGATGCACCGTATACCGTGTCGCTACTCGAAGGTGGGTACAGGTGCAGGAACTCCACTTCACACGCTGACATAACACTTGACGTAGACGTAGCTACGACGTAGTTTGAAAGCTGGAGGAGTTTGAGGATGTTTGAGGTATGAACCAGTAAAGGTCGAGAACCAGGGGGAGGCCATCGCTACTAGGGTGGAGGCCATTGCTACTAGTAGCATCAAGCAGGTTGCAGGCCATCGCTGTCCAACTCCAAGAATCAGGCCTATCACTTTGCCGAGTCGCATCCCAGCTCGGGAGCTCAGGAAAGAGTGCTGCTCAGGTCCTCAGGTGCCGCACCCCATGCGGATGGAAAAGACTTAGACTTCATAGAAGTTGAATCATGTTGAATCCAGTAGAGAATAGCTGTTTGATGCTGTATTTTTCTTGATTGGTGTGTGTTTGGTCTACCAAGCATTGCAGGTCAGGTTTGCGTTCGCAATGCAAACATGAGGCTCACACAGAATGCCAAGAAGAGAGACATCAGTCAGACCTATTCTATGTGCGTTGCCTTTCTTACTTCTAGCTTCCACAAATTTACACCATGCAATTCGTCTAGATTGTTCTCCAACAATCAAATATCTATCCAGCATCACCAGCACTGGGAAGTGCTGCTGGGAAGAAACTGTCGCGTTTGGTCGCTCATATCTGCGTTTGAGGGGCCTCAGTAAGTGGTGAGTCCATATCAGCACTTCGGAGGCAGCCCAAGAACCATATTTCTGAATAGACCTGAAGAAACAACCTGAAACCATGATTTAAGACTATATATAGTATGTTCAATCATTTTCAGTCATAGCTTGGACATGCTTGGACCAACATATTTTGATATGTTTTTTACTTGTGCAACGCTCGACGAAAGCAGACAACTGAAAGGCCTAGGACAACACCAGAAAGCCAAGGAAGCGAGAGAAACACCAGGACCCTGGGTGAAACCAAATGAAATGAGCGGGCCAAAAACAATTTCTGCAGTTGGGCACGCCTGCGGGTCACGTCCTTCCAGTCATCAAAGATGCAGGTCAAGGTGAAGAAGCTACGTTCGTAGCTTCGTGCTACTAGTAGCGATGCCAGGAGCCCCTAGCAGCGTCCTTGCTCCTAGTAGTAAGGCCAGGAGCCCCTCCTAGTAGACATGCCCGCCGCTACCGTCGCTCGTCCCAGTCTTGGGCTCCCTTGGGCCAAGCCTTGATGGACTTCTGGCGACGCCAGGAGGCATGAGATGACTTGTTTGGGTAGTAACAGAGGCATGCATGTCTACCAGTAGAAAGAAGCTATTGGTAGCGATGCACTTGTTACTAGTAGCGATGCACTTGTTACTAGTACAGCAGTGTGTGAGGTGCTTTAGATGTTTGCGACTGATCGTGGAACTTCCCAGAGTTGGTACCGGTTGATACACGGACCGGCAAGGAGTTCATATGCTTCTGCGAGGTTGCTTTGCCGGCCCATGGGCTCGAAAGGGAAGATCGAACAACTTGGCCATGTTTACTTCATTTGGATAAATTTAGTCAAGCCTGCATGACGATATGTGTCTTGAACGTAGCTCAGGGCTCAACAAGGGTAGTGGGCCGGGTCTCTGCTATGCCCGCCACGGGCGTAGTGGGGATCCTTTTGAGCAGGGGCTGGGAGCCCCAGAGTTTAGCCTTCTTTGATGGCATGCCTAAAAGAGAGGTAAGAGGCCTACTACCAGGAATGGCAGAGCGGTGGAAAGAGGAAGACTACACTGAGCTCTACAGAGAAGCCAAACGCCAGCGGCGTCGACTGGATCTGGAGGACAACGTGTTCCTGACGCACCAACGACTTTTGTTCCGGGACAAGAGGTACGTGGACCGCCAGTTGGCCAAGACTCCGCAAGGAGAAGCACAGATGGGGACACCTATGGAGTTGGCCCGGCGGTTGATGCCGAAAGCGACGTGGACGACAAGACTACAAAGGCTCTCCTCCAAGGTCGTTGGGGACAACCAGAGGGAGAAGATCGAACAGGGAGAGCGAGAGCGATGGGTGAAGGAGCTGCATGAGCTCTTGTATGAGGCCGGCTACCTCGGCAAGCCGGACAAGGAGTTTGAAGCGATGAAGTATGTAGCAACTCGGTATGCTATGGGCCGTCGCGCGTCCACGATTCGTCAACATGTCAGGCACGCCAGGCGGATCCAGGAGTACATGGAGGGTGTGTATGGAGTCCAGTGGCTACGCCATCCGAAGGACTTGATGATGTACATCAATGCCCGCCTTGAAGAGCCTTGCGGCCGCAGCGTACCGGGGTCCTTGTTTAAGGCCCTGGTATTCATGGAGAATGCTGCGGAACTGCCGCAGGAAAAGAGGCTGTCAACGTCTATGGCATTGCACCACTATTTGATGGAGATTGAGAAGAGCAACATCTGGGGACCACGGGCACGGCAGAAAGCGAATCGCTTCCCGCTGGAGGTCTTGCGGGCGTGGGAAGAAGGGGTCATGAACACCTCCTTGCAGAAGTACAAGAGGGTATTCTGCTGGTTTAAGCTCCTCAAGCTGTGGGGGGCCCTCCGGGCACATGACACCGAGGGGGTCCCCCCAGCTACGCTGTCGTGGGAGGTTGGAGTTGGACTTCAAGGAGATATCATGAGGAGCAAAACCACCGGTGCCGGAAGGCGAGTGGAAGTGGTCCAGTTCCACATCTCCGTGAACGCCTGGATCTTCGAAAGGGAGTGGTTGAGGGTCGGCTACGAGCTCTTCGCCACCATGAACAAGGATGCAAAATCGGAGAGCAGGGACTTCTTGATGGCAAGGCCCAGTGAGAATCTACATGGCTTCGCGGAGGCGATGATGAGGTACCCGGACGCCATGGCTTACTCGAGAGCTCTGCTTTCGGAGTTGCCCTCGAGTCTGACTTCGAGGGATGGGAGGCGGAGAGCTTTGATGTCCGCGGAGGGCACTGGATTCTGGTCGGAGCACTCGGAGCGCGTGACCATGATGTCCTGGGCGCTGATTGCCGAGGTGCCGAAGGAGGTCAGGCGCCGATGGGGAAGGTGGAGTCCGAGTGTGGATGAGGAGTACGCAGTCACGACGAAGAAGGTGGTGCTGGCGGCACAGGGGGGAGTTGCACACAAGATCAAGAGCAACTACAAGACCACGGACATCCTGGATGACAAGTCGGTGATCAACAGCTACATCAGGTGGCTGCAGGAGAGCTTTGGGAGGACGTTGGAAGAGGCCACGAGCACGGCTATGCCATTGACGCCGCCCATGTGGCCAGGACGTGAAGCCGGTGGCTTGGTGCTGAAGCCGAGGCCCGGTGCAGAGAGTGTCGAGGGCACGCCGCCGGTGACGCCCACGTCGAGGCCGGGTTCGCCCACCGAGGTCATCAGTGACGCAGAGGAAGAGCCGGACCACAAGCCGGAGAGCCATTACCCGAAGGGCACCTACATCCTTTCGATGGTGGGGAGGTCACGACGGCGCACTCTGCACAGGGGGGGTCCACTACCATAACTACGTGGTGGTGGGAGAGGAGCGCCCAGAGATCAGAGCGGAGGAGGGTGAGAAGCTCTGTGGCGTGTGTTTTGGTGCGAAGGCCAAGATGGCCGAGATCCTTTTGGAGGGCGAGGGCAAGGACAACGAGCCCTCGTCGGAATCATCATCTTCGGTGATGGAGGCTTCCGAAAGCGAGGCCTGATCGTGAAGGATGAAAAGGAAAAAGAAGGAGGGGTTCCCAGGGCACAGGGTGGGCCCAATGGGGGCACCAGGGGTAGGTTGGGGTTCGTCGT